GTTGCTGGTAGGTATCATTTCGGTATGAAATGATTTAATAGGTTACAATTTGTTGATAAAAATCTGAATTTGNTTGACTATAGCAATTTTGACATATGTTACCATGGAGACGATCTAATAATGTCATTTGATAAAGTTTGAGCGGCAATTTAAAAATATATAGGGTTTGTTATAGCTATTTGTTAAAACAAAAGAGATACGGGGCCGCTAATATCAAACTGAATCATCCGGTATATTGAGGTTTTATATTTTCTCTCTGTTGCCATTTCTGTGTAAAATGTAACTAAACAACCGTTCTTGCAGCTCAAAATCCACAACCGTTGACAAATAATCCACAACCGCGCCCTTAATAAAAATAGTTTACAAACTGTCAGAAATTTACTGCTAAAACAAACCTAATATGTTCAAATGCGCGTCTTAAGAGGGGCGCAATTTTTTGTCCAGCATTTTAGAAAATCTAAGCAAGTTACAAACACTATATATATATATCTTCACTGTACTTATTTATATACGTTTTCTTCAGGGTATAAGACAACTGACATACATTCAAAATAAGGAAAAAATTGTAGAACATTGTATGTTTAAAAACTTGTTTGTCATACAGGGTGTTCTACAAGCTCTATGACTGTCAGATGGTAACAGAGTTAATTTCAAACATTTTTTCTTGGGTCCGATGGACATAGGTCCGATTCGTTTTTGTTTATAAAAAATTTAATTTCATATTTCAATCAAAGTAGATAAAAAATAATCCAAACCTCATCCTTTAGTTCGCCAATGTGAGACTTGCATTCGAACCGAGGATGGACATTTTGAACAATTTTTATAGTCTTAAGATTTGTTAATTTGGTTAATAAAGGTTAACTAATGTCTAAACTTTAAACACAAATAATAATTATTGTTATTTTTATTATCAGGCTACTTTGATTGAAAAATGAAATTATATTTTTTAAATGCTTGTAATTTCTAAACAAAAACGAATCGTATAAGAAAAAATATTTGAAATTAATCCAACTATCATCTGTCAAAGTTTGTCGCAGAGCTTGTAAAACGCCATGTATTGCCTCTGACATGTATTCTTTAACTTTCATTTATCTTTGATAACGGTTTTGTACTTTGATAATGTACTATTACAGACTAGTGTCAAGTTTAAGAAACGCAAATCCAAGTTTTGTGTTGAATTGACTATTTTAACTGTTTTCAGTCACATAAACTCCTTAACATTTTGGAACAAATAACTTCATTAAGGTGAATTCTTTACGTTATTGAAGTTAAAACATGATAAAATACGGTTACGGTTGTGAAAAACGTTAAGTGATTCTCAAAAATTATGTATTCTGATGTTTACAGAGTCGTATCATGTCAGTCCACCGATCATCTATCACATATCAACGAAATTCGAAAATGTAGGCAATCATTAATCATCTTTTATTACATGTATAATAGATCGACCGTTTTCGATCAACTTTTATGCCATTTGAAATTTTTTCGTAGAATGCACGGTTAAATTTATTTGTCTCGCTATCTTTCTTCCAAATAAATGCAAAATTTATTCTGATTTTTACCTATGTTTCATTGTTCCGGTACGAAAAATGTTATCGTGATTTTTAGACTTTTAACTACGAATTTATAAAAAAAAGGGGACAAAATTCTAACTTGATCTAAATAGGTTTATTTTCATCCAAAAACACTGTACAGCTGTAAACTGTTTAATACAATTCAACATTTTAGTATTTTGTCTTTAACAATTATGATTAGTGTGCATTTCATTGATCTATCAATAATATTATACAGGTTTAGCTTTCTAAAAATACATACTCCATTGTTTAGACATAAATATAAGTCACGTGTGTTTTGTAAACATATTTATACTATTTATATACGTAAAACAGTTAAAATTTCTAAAATTATTTTACAACGCATGCAAACATTAAAAATACGAGTTCTAGTAAAAATTTCTCGAATTGAAAACTTCGTTATTGCAAGCTGTTTGGTTCACTGCCAACGTTCTTAGTTTATGTTATGGTTGTCAGACTAAAGGAAACACCACTGTTTTTAAATATGTTTGCTTTTTCTTATAATTTACTCGAATTTGACGTCGTTCTACAGTTGTTACATACAGTGTGGAAAACAGCCAAATGAAATAAATTCAATATCTCAATTATTGTGCATGTTTATAAAAAATCCCGAGAAACTTCGATTTTGGATTCTAAAATGACATCCTGCAACGTAAAAATTTCATCCCTAAATTCAACCCCCTTCGAATGGCAGTTACAACCCTTAAATTTTTAAATGGGAAGTAAGGGCTTGTAATACCTCATTTGAAAGGTATTTAAGGTATTTTCATTCTCTATTCAAAAATACTATGGTTTTAATATTTATTGCAAAAATTAGCAGTTTGACGAAATTCGCTACAGCAAACTAAAAAAAAACTTGCATTTCAACGAAGATGTTCAAAATTAGTTCCTTGAGCGTCTTGGCCGCATCCTAATCGTAAATAAAAATGTCTTCTAACGTTTTTCAATATCTGAGGCGTGACCGGCATAACCTCAACCATTATTTTTTTGTCAATAAAATTGGTAATGCCAGCTAAGAATAATTTTGATAAGTTTTTATATCTTCTTTTTAGTTGAAAGTGATGAAAAAGAACATTCAAATTGTTTTTGCTAGCATGGAAGAACAAAACGCAGTTTTGATACTTTTGTTTGTTGTAACATTTCGTTAAGCATTTTTGAATAGGCAATGAAAACACCTTTCAAATGAGGTATCACAAGCTCCTACTTCTCATTTAAAAATTTAGAGGTTGCATCTGCCACTCGAAGAGATTTGAATTTGGAGATGACATTTTTACGTTGCAAAATGTAATTTCAGAATCCACAATCGACATGTCTTGGGATTTTTTATAAATGTGCACAATAATTGAGATACTGAATTTATTCCCTTTGGCTGTTCCACACTATAGAAACTACTAACCACCACCCTCATCGATCGTGTTAGTCAATATTGCGATGCCTTTTTAGATTAGACTTATACTACTTTAATTCGCCAAAGTGCCTCGAGTATTATTTACCTATTGGGTGGATATTAACTGAAATAATTGCTTGAGTAGCTTAATAACTAACTTAAATATGTTTTGTAAGATTCTGTTATATCTTCAGAAGGTTGTTTCTTGGGTTATTTTAGACCAAAAAGTCTTAAACGACCAACTGTCTAAAGCCACTGAGGTAAATTGATGTTTGGGTGAATAATGTAATTAATTACAGGCAAAAACTAAATTCCTACACAGTATGTCAGTCAGTGAGGAAAATACCGACAGAGAACATCACTGAGAACTCCAGAATTTGAAATAGTTTGGAAATAAGTGTATTAAAAATTCTTAATTTCATTTTTAAGAAAAAAAATAAAAAATGTGGGATACTTACCTAATTTCCAAAATGCCATCGAAATTCTGAAGATCTTTGTGACATTGTCTCTGGTACTGATTGATAGAGTTTTATACCAGTTCAGTAAATTGTTGCCTTTAATTAGAAAAATTACACATCGCCTCAATAAAAAATGCTCTGGGCCATGGACCATTTTGACCTTAACCCACTGAATTCGAATCTAAAGTTAGAAAGAGAAAGAACATGTACTCGTATATTNTTTCATTCTCTATTCAAAAATACTATGGTTTTAATATTTATTGCAAAAATTAAAAAAACTTGCATTTCAACGAAGATGTTCAAATTTAGTACCTTGAACGTCTTGGCCGCATCCTAATCGTAAATAAAAATGTCTTCTAACGTTTTTCAATATCTGAGGCGTGACCGGCATAACCTCAACCATTATTTTTTTTTCAATAAAATTGGTAATGCCAGCTAAGAATAATTTTGATAAGTTTTTATATCTTCTTTTTAATTGAAAGTGATGAAAAAGAACATTCAAATTGTTTTTGCTAGCATGCAAGAACAAAACGCTATTTTGATATTTTTGTTTGTTGTAACATTTCGTTAAGCATTTTTGAATAGGCAATGAAAACACCTTTCAAATGAGGTATCACAAGCTCCTACTTCTCATTTAAAAATTTAGAGGTTGCATCTGCCACTCGAAGAGATTTGAATTTGGAGATGACATTTTTACGTTGCAAAATGTAATTTCAGAATCCACAATCGACATGTCTTGGGATTTTTTATAAATGTGCACAATAATTGAGATACTGAATTTATTCCCTTTGGCTGTTCCACACTATAGAAACTACTAACCACCACCCTCATCGATCGTGTTAGTCAATATTGCGATGCCTTTTTAGATTAGACTTATACTACTTTAATTCGCCAAAGTGCCTCGAGTATTATTTACCTATTGGGTGGATATTAACTGAAATAATTGCTTGAGTAGCTTAATAACTAACTTAAATATGTTTTGTAAGATTCTGTTATATCTTCAGAAGGTTGTTTCTTGGGTTATTTTAGACCAAAAAGTCTTAAACGACCAACTGTCTAAAGCCACTGAGGTAAATTGATGTTTGGGTGAATAATGTAATTAATTACAGGCAAAAACTAAATTCCTACACAGTATGTCAGTCAGTGAGGAAAATACCGACAGAGAACATCACTGAGAACTCCAGAATTTGAAATAGTTTGGAAATAAGTGTATTAAAAATTCTTAATTTCATTTTTAAGAAAAAAAATAAAAAATGTGGGATACTTACCTAATTTCCAAAATGCCATCGAAATTCTGAAGATCTTTGTGACATTGTCTCTGGTACTGATTGATAGAGTTTTATACCAGTTCAGTAAATTGTTGCCTTTAATTAGAAAAATTACACATCGCCTCAATAAAAAATGCTCTGGGCCATGGACCATTTTGACCTTAACCCGCTGAATTCGAGTCTAAAGTTAGAACGAGAAAGAACATGTACTCGTATATTTGTTTTCAAGAAACTTACTGATATGATCTGTCCACTTATCCTAAATGGACAGAGTATATTTGTGTATAAGTAATTAAACAATTAAATGTTATAGATTGGTGCCAAAGATTGTAAATGGAGGTATTGCGGGCATTATTGGAGTTACGTGCGTCTTCCCCTTGGACCTTGTTAAAACCAGACTTCAGAATCAGCAAATCGGTCCCAATGGCGAGAAAATGTATAAGAGTATGTAAGTATAAATGAGGCTACTCTTCATTAGTGGCCAAGAATTCAACAGCTGGTCCATATAAATTATGTTAGGTATATTTAAAGTTCTAATTAAAACTAGATGTTTGCTTCTCCACTGAAAACAAGAGTACTATTTGTAATACATAGGAGAAAAATAAAATTGTACTTTGCTGTATCTAAGCTTTGTGGTCAAACTATAATTTTAAAAACTCATAAAATAGTTAACTAATATGATAACTGTTTATTATTGTATTCAAGGGCGTCGCCAACGGGGGGCAGGGGGGAGCAAAATTACAAAAATTTTCTTAAGCTAAGAAAATATTATATTGGAAATTTTTAATAAAATGTTGTTTTATTTACTTTAACTGCAATTTTGAAAATTACACTACTTAATTTTTTAAAAAAACAATTGTAATAAATTAGTATAAATATTTATTGTCAAAAAAATTTAAAAATATAAAATTTTATGTTAAAAAGTAATGCATTTCCATATTTTAATTTAACTGAAATTTTAAATTAAAAAAAAAATAATTTTTATCTATTTTAGCTATTTACGCACCAATTTTATATAGAGGGAATGAAAAACGTTTTTAATTTTATAGGTTACCCATGGGTTTAAGAAATTTATATATTTTCAATAATATACAGGGTAGGGTGTTTGGAAAAGTTGGTACAAAATTTAAGAGGGTGAAAGTAGAGCCAAAAATAGTAAAAAAAAGTTCCTGTATATATTGGTTCTCCGGAGCACCGTTACTGAGATATGGCCATCCAAAGGGGTCTTATAATTTGAATATTTTTTTAAATAACTTTCTTTCTGATTAAGATAACGGAATGAAAATTGTAGGTAATAATTATACCATAAGTTTCATCAAAATCGGTTATAAATAATGATAGTTTTGTAACTACTCTTAACAGAAATTTTTCGATTTTTTTTATCCCTTTGAATAATCAAGCAAATAATATTATTTTTTAATGAATTAGACTTTTTTGAACAAAAAATGTTTCTACTTTTTTTTCGAATTCTGCGTAGTTTAATCAGAAATAATTATTTTTTAAATAATGTATGGCTCAGAACAGTAACTTTTTTAAAACATTTTTACATAGTGACAGTTTCATTGTAATGATACTAATGATTGTCACTTTCGCGTGCTATAGTTTAAATTCTTATGTGTCTTTATTTTCTTAGTTGTGATCTTTGTGCTCAACTTTGCATTTCATTCGATTTTTTACAACCATGAACCATCATGCTTTTACTAATGCCGATATGCATTTTATTTATGGTTTCTGTAATGGAAATAGTCTGGCGGCTCAAAGAGAGTATCGGCAACGTTTTCCTGATAAAAGGCAACCCTCTGCAAGATTGTTTCGGAAAATTCATGCAAGAGCTATGGAATCAGGAGCCCTAACTCCAAGATATATGATTTAGCAATAGGGCGGACGGAGCATGCATCCACTAAGGCCATCTTGTGTTGGTGTGGTAAAACATTGTCTTTTATAGAAATTGTTAAACAGAAATCTGCAACCACATTTCAAACCTGTATTTCCAATTCCAATGAATAAAAATATTTTTTTAAATGTTTTTCTTGTATTAAAAAGGTTTTATTAAAAATATTTCTAAACAAAATTAATTCACTATACCTATTTCTACCTGTAATTTATATTTCTCCTATCGTCTCTCTTATCTTGCCCCCCCCCCCTAGCCCATTGGCTGGCGACGCCATTGTATACAGTAGAGTGAACTAAACTGAACTTTTTGAGGACTGAAATGAAAATAAACGCTCGGTCGGTACTTTTAACGAAAATCTAAAACGAATTAATTAATATATTTTATTATAATATGTAAATGTTGATTTAATTGCTTAAACTGAGAAATATGCACATTTTTTAATAAAAACATGTTGCAGGTTGGATGCTTTCAAAAAAACTTACAGAGCCGAAGGATTCTTTGGGATGTACAGAGGATCTGCAGTCAATATATTGTTAATTACCCCCGAGAAGGCCATCAAATTAGCTGCTAACGACTTTTTCAGATATCACTTACAAACAAAGGATAGGTAGGTAACAGTTTTAACTTTTTGAACATATTAAGTAGTAGTTAATATGTGAAGGTACTTGTTTTTGTTCCGACGTGACGATTTCAGAATAGTCAAAAATAAATAACCATGTTATTAATAGGAGTAACTTAGCGGATGATCACTGATAATAGAGCTGGGTGACTATTTATGACTAGGTCTGTCAGAACTGAGCCGCGGAACATAGGCGTACGCATTATTTATTAAAAAGCAACAAATTAAGTTGTCTACAATACAACATGCAACATCCGCACGATAACAAATGAATAGTACACTAACGTGACATGAACGTGAAAAGCATTATAAGGCAGCGGCTCACGCATGTCTCGGTTAACCCGCTTGGCACGCCATTGAATTGCGGCACCCTCTGACAGCCTTATTTATGACTGTTGCAGTTAGAACTACAAAAAACTTAATAATTAAAGTTTTATATTAACTTATTTCTTAGAGGTATATAATTTTATGTTAAGAATAATCTGAAACATATTTTGTTCTATTTCTCATAAATAAATGATAGCAAATGTTTAAATATATTTTTGAAGTAAAACCTTCAGCAACTATGCAAGTATTTACGTTAAATTAAAAATGAAAACTTTTGCTTTGGTAGAAGAAAATACAGCAAATATGAAAAAAATACATTTGCTCCTGTGCTGTAAGTAGGTACCTCATTAGCAGATTTCAGTTGGATTTAACACACCTTAAAGTGAGAACTGTGGTGTTTTCAAATTATAGCCAAAAAAAAATATCAAAAAAGTTTGGAGAGAAAATGTAAAAAAAAGAGATAACTTTTCCGTTTTAATTAAGAAAATGTGCATTAGTTACAGTAGCAGTATGAAAAAATGAAAGACCACATCCAAAACACGAAGGTTTTTCAAGAAGCATGTATTTCTTCCCGGCTATAAAAATAATGTTGCAAGCATCATTGAGACTAAACAAAGACAGTATCAAAAAACCGTTAGTGAAGCGGTTAACATAAAAGAATGTCTTTGTGGATTAAATTTCCTCTTAATGCATTTTTTCTGGTTCGAAAGAAATACTAAGTAGATTGTAAGCATATTCTCATTCCGAAACCTTCACAATATACCTTTTTAATAGTAGTAACCTGACATACGCCAAATAATAGACAACCCCATAGTGCACATTGTCATGAAGAATTTCTCAATATTTTTACTAGGTCTATTTTCGACCTTACGTACTTTGGATTAAGTGCAAAAAAATTTCTTCTTTGTTATGACCTTAAATATCGCGATACTGGTCTAAATCCTAATCAAACGCGGGTAGGTAGAGCATCTACTACAAAGGCTGAAGCATTTACTGTAGAGCAAAAGCATAACATTGTTCATTTGAAATGAAGGAACAAATGATTCTGTTTTAGTCGTGATACTCATATGAATCAAATTATTTGTTTCAAATAATTTTATATTTTTTTTATGTTTCTATCTTATCGGCTGTCATTAATCACCAATCAAAAATAACATTAAATGAAAATTTAACTTGGATTTACATTTAATCCCTGATAGCTTATTCCGTCAGATTTCTAGTATTAAAAATATTTACTCATATAATAAATTTTTTAAACATATCACACAGGTATGCGATAAAGCAAATCCACAATAAAATTATTACTCCTATCTCAGATTTTAAAGATCTCTACAACAGAAAAATATACATGTAATATTTTTAAATAAACTTTTTTTGGCACATCTGACACCGACCGTGACTACATACCTGCAATCATATAGGTATATGTTTCGTAACTGTTAGAAACTAATATACTTTAAACAATAAATAGTTAATTTTTATTGGTATTATGCCAAACTTGATTGTTATTGCCAGTTATTGCTTGTAATTTATTTACCATGAAAAATGATTCACAAACATACAAATATGAAGGTATGTCTGACAGCATATAAAAATAAGTATAAATGTATACAAAGTTTAGCGTATCGAACAAATTCATTCGCTTCAGTGTGTAGGAAGGAACGTTGTAAAGAACATCATCGAAGTATTCGTTGACTTAAAGCACGAATACATACACACAGCGAACAAAAGGTAAACGAATTCAACTACTAAAGCAGCTAGCTTAAAATTTGTTTCGTCTAGTCGCGACATAGTTTTGTTTTTATAGTACCTGCTAAATAGCAGGTCGCTCTTTGTCAGTTTGGCCGTAATGAGTACCATTCATAGATGTAGCTTTTTATTATATCTCGTCCAAATTGTTTTTTGTTTAAATTGTACTTAGCAGGGGCAAGTATTTTGTTGATTATGAGTATGTTTTATTTAGTAATTTTGTATTTTCATTTTTTTTAAGTTTTCGTCGAGAAAGTGCTTTCGGTCAATGCCGGTCGAAACTATTTGGGTAGCACCGTTCAGATATTATAATATAGTCACGGAAAAAAGTTCAAAAATAATGTTTACGTATACGTTTTTGTTTTCATCTAATTTTTTTATTCTAATTATCATTTGGAATTATACACAGCAATCTTATTTTCACAGTTCCAGTGATGTATAGTTTCTGGATTCCTACTTCATATTCATTTCCAGTATCTCTGTCATTAGTTGACGTATTTATGTTTGAATTCGGAAGATTTTTACCTTTTATTAAATAATTAATTAGCCCGAATTTAATCAACCACCCTCCAAAAATATTTTTTAAATGTTTTATATGTATAAGTATTAAATTTTATTGGTGTTTATAGCCTATTTACTAAATCAAATCCTACCCACACAAATATCACGATTTAAAATGCTTCCGATTGTAATTACTCGTAGAGGGGGTAATTCCAGTCAAACAATCTGATTATGTTATATCTGGCTGGATTTCTTGTTAGCCATTTATGTTTTCATAATCTGTGTAATAATAATAAAACGAAGTCCTTCATCATTGGAATATAATAATAAATTCGTAAATTTTAAATTACAAGCGATCATGTTTTGAGTGATCGTCATTCTTCCACTCTTCCCTAACTATACAGGGTGATTCAGTTATAATGTCATTAATTTTAAGGGGAGATAGGGAAAAATGAATAGAATACGAATACGTAAAAAAATTTAAAAATGCATATTTAAGCTGAAAAAAATCATTATTTATACCCATTTTCGAACCGTTCCTGACCGCTGACCTACATCGAGAGTGAATCTTGACCCTATACTGTTCGGTCACTAAACTAACTTTAATATTCTTAACGGTTTCACTATTTTATAGTTGAATATGAGTTTTTAGTATTACATTATGTTCAAGTAATCATTCAGTTTATAGTACGTATATCTACCTTTTTTGTGACATAACTTTTTAGAGGTGTATGGTACCTACTTATTTAAAATGACAAATACGACTAAAAAACACTCACTCATTTGTCCATAAAATCTTAATAGAGTTGAAATCCGTTGCACTTTGATTTGGAAAGGAATTGCAAAACTGGACGAAGGGACGACTAGGAAATCAGCTGTTTCGCTACAACGCAACGTACGATCGCTATGTACTCGGCTTGCGAGGCGCGCTCAATATTACATAGCGCCGAATTAACGCCAGTTAAGGGGTAATTTGCTGATTTTTAAAAAGGTTTAGAAAACATTTTTTTTCGGTTTTCTGTCTTTATTAGACCTTCCTAATACATGGTCAAAACTAATGAATTTATGACCGAATCACCCTGTATATGTTAGGGCCAATAATTGTCTTATTGAACTGAACACTGGGTGTTAAAAAAGTGTGAAAAAATGTACTCCAAAAACTAGAAAAAAAGTTCATATGAGCATATCTTCGGAAACGCTTCAATCACTAATCAAATATATTACAAGGTATTACTCTAATAAATTTACAATAAAACGATGATAAAAGAGATAATTCAGAGCCGAACATTCAGAAATATTATCGACTTTGTCTCAATTGTACTTAATTGTACGCTAATGAAATTTTCGTGAAAATAGTAGCATCTTTTCTGAAAGAACAAGAAAATTGCCCTTCTTGACGGTATGTATCTGACATCATAAATTCCGGTAGATCGCTTTTGAACTATGAACTCATTGAAATGAAAAAAAAAAAAAGGTTCCCACGTATTCGTTTCATACAGGGTATTAAAAATTACAAAAAAAAAAGATTTGTAAATTTCTCAACTGTTCTCTGTCTACACCGAGCTTTTAATATAACCCTCCATACAAAAGTCCAGAATATACATGCAGTGGCAATCCAGGGATTTTTCCAGCTTCTCCACAATTTTCTCTTCTATGCGTGTAGAAACAGATCTAGATCTTCCATTGCGGATACAATTTTTACCATATTTTCCACTATGTACCTCGGTATCACTGATGAAGTCTAAAGGGCCTCATTTCACTGAGGCTGGTGCAGCCAGGCTAGTCCTTGCAGGCTGGTGGCTGGAACAAGTGCTTCTATTGATATCAGGCTGTTCTTTCCAAGCGCGATTGTAGGCTACGTTCCTATACTCCTTAAAACAATTCTTCTTCTGAATATGTTCAGTATACAATCATTCAGAGTAGCAGTGAAGACCAATCACCCGCTGCTTACGTTATTTAAGCACAAAAAGAAAACCTAAAAATAAAAGATACTGGGTGCATGGAAATATTTTAACAGTATCTATAAATATTTCTGTGTTGTCTTTTTCCATTGTGAAAATAATATCTAAGACTCTACAGTCAACATGGACAGTCACGTGGTTCTAATAGACAAAAATCCAGGGCTGAACCCGCTTTAAAATGTAAATTAGTACAAACTAGGCTTGTGCCTAGCCAGTGTGAGTGTATATTCATTTGTTTCACTACGTTTCAAACTTGGCTGGATACGCCAGGCTGCACCAGCCTAGCTAGACTCAGACTCGGTGAAGTGCGGCCTTAACGAATTTCGAGAACGATTACGATAGGCGATGACGATAAACTTCAGCATACATCTACAATTTCTGCATAGTTTTACAATACAGAAAAAAAATAAAAACTATAGTCCACCTAACCTTTAACACTAATAATGAATTTATTTGAATAGAAAGTAAAAGTATGTTTGTTCATAAAAACAAAAACAACATATTTGTTATAAGACGACACGATAAAGAAGTAACTCGTATTTTTATAAAATTTAAAGGATATTACTTTTTGGGAGATTAATAAATTAATTAAGATGATTAATTAATTAATTATTAAGATTAGTATTTATTAATACAAGAAAATCCAATTGTGTTGGTGTCATTCGCATAATATTTTACCCCCTTGTCGTTTTTACGTCTCTGTTTAGAAAAAGTGAGCATATACTTTGGTATACTTGGTAAATTTTCTTTTGCGATATCAAACAGGTACATAAAAAACAATTGGATACGTTACGTACCTGAGATAGAAATCAAACTTGCGTGCTTTTAAATAGAATACTCTGTATATGTGTCATTTTTTTAAATTCTCTGTTTTTCTAATTATAAGTATACATATAATATTTACTTCGACACTTAATTTCGGTTTATTTACTGACTTTTCATAATGGAAAGTGCCATGGAATCTTCGCCGTTAAATTTTTTAAATAATCCTTTAAATTCGTGGACAAATATCTTCTTTAAAAGGTTTTCCATTACTCTGTTCTAGACAAAGGACATGGTACTCTGTGTTATCCACTTCATTGACGGTATTAACTGCGTCCAACATTTTCTTCCTTAGGTCATATAAGTTATTAGGTGATTCACTGTTTGCTCTATCTTCCAGTGATATAGAAAGAACTAGATGGGCGTTAAATCAGAACTTCTTACAGACCATAAAATTATCTCATTATAAGAAAATTAAAAATCATTTGTAGTACTTTCTCTTCTCAGGAGAAGTAGCACTCGAAAATATATTTTTTTTCTTCAGTACTATTAAATGAATCACTTATTTCTACTCAGGCACAAACATTGTTATTTTATTAGAACTTTCATATAGTATTACCATTGCTTTGGAACTTACATGACTAACCATTATGCACTATCAGTAAACAACCAAAATATTATGCAAACTATCAGGCAAATATCAATGTGGCTATATCATGTGCTAAATAAAGGACATCTGTTAACTTTATCCTGGTTTGCCACCATGTAGTTCTTCCCCTGAAAGATAAAGTAAACAACGAACGGCCTAATAATTTATTTAACCTGAGGAAGAAAAGGTTGGACGCAGTTCATTGGAAAACATACCCACATACTGGTTTCATGACAATCTTGACTGTATGCAGGAACCGTAAATAAACCAAAATATCTAAGTGATAATCTATTATTCTCTGTCAAAAGTTTTTACATATACAGAAAAACATACAGTCTACAGAATGTTTTGAATTTTAGGACGCTTCCCATGTTCCGACAAATGTTGGCTGGTGGTTTGGCAGGTCTTTGTCAAATAGTCGTAACGACTCCTATGGAGCTTTTGAAAATCCAAATGCAAGACGCTGGACGAGTTGCAGCTCAGGCCCTTTTAGGTTTGTAAATATACGTTCTTCCTTTCCGTAGTTTTTTATTTTTGGTAAAAAATATGTCATTAGTTATTTATGTTTAACGGTAAGCACAATTAAAACATAATAATGTTAAAGACCGCATTATGACAGTCGACAGTAGTCGTGTGGTTGTTTTAAATAAAATTGAAAAAATTAAAAATGTTAAACCATATAGGATTCGTAGAAAAAAACATGTGGTAGTGATCTTATAAATTGAAATCATAAGGAAAGCGTTTTAACTGGCGAACACATAAGACATAAACACGTTTGTACTTCTAAAAATATTTATATATTTAAGTTTTGTAGACGTCTGTGTATTTCATAATCTATTTTAATTTAAACCGGAAATTGATACAGGAAAACTTAAAACGTATTGTACGGGGTCAATATAACGTCAGTAAAATTGTATTTAGGTATGATGCCAACAGGGAATGCACTGAATTGATCAACCAGTACGGATGGTTTTCAACAAGTGATACAGAAATGAAAAATCAGTCAGTAGTGTATGTATTTTTTAATTAATGACTGATATTAAATTAGATTAATGAGTTTTCATCCCAGATCTATATTTCAAAAATCGCAATATTGTGGAGACAAAAGAAATTTCACGCATAAATTTCAAGTCAAAGGGCATAGAAACATACCTACAAAAAACATAATTTTCCGATAAACATATAATGTTCGTGGTCGCCTTGAATTATCACAAACTTAATAAAAAAACAAACATTAAAACAAATACTTCAACAGTCTTATATTTTTATAATACCAAAATTGAAAATTCAGCGTACTAAAATACATATACAGGATGTAGGTAAAATGCGTGACCAACCTTTAATAGATTCTACGTCATACATTAACAAGCAAGTTTATATAAACATGTGTCTGGAAACGTTTGATTTCCGTAACAATGAACGTCCTGTGCGTAATGAAGCTGTGGCGGTTGCAGTTCTGGGACACGTTGCTTTAGATCATAGGCTAAGTACACGGCAATTGGCTTCTGTAAGCGGTGTAAGTCGGGGTAGTGTACAACGAATTTTAAAACATTACAAGTTCCATCCTTACAAAATTCACCTTCTCCATGAACTTCACGAAGATAACTTTGACCGCCGGGTACAATTTTGCGAGGTCATGACTGAACGGGCGATGCATAATTCAAATTTTCTTTTCAACATTTGTTTTTCCGATGAGTGCAGCTTTTTCCTAAATGGCACCGTCAACCGCCATAATTGCCGTTACTGGGCAGACTCCAATCCAAGAATCTTCCACGAACAACATAATCAACACCCAGAAAAATTAAATGTTTGGGCTAGTACCTTTGGTGATTCCCTTGTTCGTCCTTTTTTTATAAATGGTAATTTGACTGGTGATATGTATTTGGAATTGCTACAAGAAGCCATTGATCCAGCCTTAACGGTAATTGTGGAAAACAATAATGATTACCTCGAAGATGAACTGATGTTCCAGCAAGACGGGGCTCCCCCCCACTATGCCCTCCATGTGCGCGAATTCTTAAACCATACATTTCCGAATCGTTGGATAGGTAGGAGAGGTGCCATTAAATGGCCTCCTAGATCCCCAGATTTAAGCCTATTGGACTACTTTTTGTGGGGATACCTGTAAACCAAAATCTATGCCACCCAACCGGACTCTCTGGAAGATCTACGTCAACGTATCATTAATGAATGTCGTCTAGTCACTCCTGCAATGCTCCAGAATGACAACGTTCTGAACAAAATCTTTATAATTGCATGGACGCGGGGGGCCAACATTTTGAGCATTTACTGTAATAAAATTTCATTAATAATATTTTGCTTTCAAAACCCTGTATCTTTTACAAAAATAGGCTGATTTTCAAAAGTGGCACACTGTGTAGAGAAAGAGCTTTTGAACGATATGCAACTTGACCACCCTTCCCATTTAAAAATTTGAAGGGGATATTTACCCCGCTCAGGGGGTAGCAGTTAGAACCATCTAATTCATGCAAAAAGATGTCCCCCACGCAAACAAAATCGACGGATTTTTGCGTTTTTCCAAAAAAAAAATTCCTAGCCGCTATGGGCTCTGTTACGTTTTCGTTGGGCCACCCTATGGGCTCTGTTACGTTTTCGTTGGGCCACCCTGTATAATAAGTGGCGATACATAATAAATAATACCAATACATTGAATCACAATGATGTGAAACCTGTGGATACACCTTGTTTTGTTCCACCATTTTTTTACATTTACGCGATATCTTGACATCAAACGTGAATTTGAAAGTTTTCTTACAAAATGTACTTTTCTGTTCCAAAGAATACATATTTAGGTGTCCTTGTATACTGTATACCACCACTTAAAATAATATTAATCCATGCTGCAACTAACAATATTCAAAATTGTACACCTATATATCCACTGCCCTTCATCTGCCGATCTTCCCCCACTACTCGACCGCGTACGTGCGCTCGGCCGTTTTTGGGCATATTTGGAGGAATTTTTCACCTATTTCGCATCATTTTATAGGAAAATTAGAATATACGTTTTGTAGTATTATACTTCTACCTTTAAAATCTGGCTGAAAAATTAAAATCGGACCACCTCCAACGCATCCAGAAATTTTGCAAAATAGTGCACCAGAAAATTCAAATTGCAATTGTGCCAAAACTAATAGTCCGACAGCGCCTGTTTTGTGCATACTTAAAGTAAATATAATTCACTACTTTTGTGCACAGGTTCAGCTGTACAATTTAAAAAATGGCAGAGTAATTAATTTAAAAAGAAAACGCTAAATATTCCGATATTTCCGTTTCTAATTATCAGATCGAATCGATCGACCTCTAGTTTTATTCGATTCTCTACAAATTGTCTCATTAGCATTCAGATTACTTCGTTAGTATAGGTTTTATAAGTAAAAAACTAAAAAAAAGCGTTTTGCGTTTTTTTGCATAAAAATGTTTATAAACAATTAATTAATGGTAAATTGAAGTAGCAAACGTATAAGCATAGGTATGTATGTATGTATGTATGTATGTATGTATGTATGTATGTATGTATGTATGTATGTATGTATGTATGTATGTATGTCGGAGGGGTGGTGGAATTGTCTTCCACCACGGCACTTAGGCCTTATTAGGCCCCTTGTACACCCTCCTTCATTACTCGAGTACTTTTCTTCAAACCATCTTATTTACTACACGGATGGCTTGGTGGCAAAGTCTCGTACAGTTTATGTATGATAGCATGGTCTTGAGTTACAGAGATTTCTTGCTCTGCTCTCATTACCATTTATCGGGGACCACACGACGGTAGTCTGCCACAGCCACGTCCCCGAGCCTGCCTTAGGTCACCCATCCAAATTCCAGCTTGAGTCCGTGATGCTGCCACAGCCACGTCCCCGAGCCTGCCTTAGGTCACCCATCCAAATTCCAGCCCACGTCCGTGATGCTTGACTCGGCAGATCGAAATGCGCCGGCCAAGACACCCGGCTAGGCGGTCCCCGTATAAGCATAGGTATATGACAGACTTTTCTTTTATATGATGACGCAGTCCGCTTGCTACTAGTATTTTTGTCACAAACAAAACCTCTATTGATTGACCTAAACGTACAAAATTAACTAAACGTACTGTCACTTCGACATTTAATAGCCAACTTTCTTTTTTGAACTGCGAAACTAGCATGCGGTCACAACAACAGCACGCGGGGTTATTTAAACTTGCCTACCAGAAGCGTAGAATAGGCTAGAACAATATTTTTGCCTAAAGCGATTCCTAAGGATTCTACAATCCATCAAAGGTTGGACTGAAACACAGTTTTTGATAAATTACTCAAGAACCAGTAAGTGCAGTTTTTGAGCACCTTTTCCGTTATCCAAATTAAAGTCCAAAAAACTGAGACAATTAAGCCCATCATCAGTAGTGTAGGTAATCTGTGACTGTACTTTACCAAGGTTAACTCTATATTGTCTGTGGTTCAGTGGAGTAATTAATAAAAAACTGTGTTTTAGATCCCTTAGAAAATGTTTTGTGAAATAATGTTATTCTTCATTTCTTCTGTTTATTTTGACGAGAAGGATGATTCAATAACAAAAAGAGATATTGAACAGGTGGTATTAACATCAAACTGATAGATATATCTATATGTATTATACACCACAATGTAGACAAAAAAAATTTGCTCAAAACGTATACTCTTACATTACAGTAAACAAAACTGTAGCAAGGACCTCAGCGACGGAGTTAGCCATTGGACTGTTGAAACAGCACGGTATCCTTGGTTTGTACAAGGGAACAGGTGCAACGATGTTGAGGGACGTCTCCTTCTCAGTGATATACTTCCCCTTATTCGCCAACCTGAACGAACTAGGACCTAGAAAATCCGACGGATCAGGTAAGCCAGTGACGCATGCCGCCATTCAACAAGTGATTACGCTTTTTTAACTGCGATCTATTTTTAATTTCAGCCGCCGGTTCTACGTATTTACACTTGTTATGTTATTTACTCGCTATTTTTAGGAGAGGCGGTGTTCTGGTGTTCGTTCCTGTCAGGATGCGTAGCGGGATCCTTTGCGGCCTTGGCCGTAAACCCGTTCGACGTTGTCAAGACTCGATTACAAGCACTCACAAAGGCCGAGGGTGAGAGGTCGTACAGCGGCATAGGGAACGCTTTCGTGTAAGTAATATTTAAGCTTTTTTTTGGTTCTCTATTTCTGAACAGTCCACAATCATCGCAGAACTATAAACGCAATAGACAAAATTCTGAACGATTCGGAACTATCCGGAGTTATTTGAAAACCAGTCCGCATTACAAAATTGAAAACCAGAATGCATTACAAAAATATACTCATAAAACCCAATAAAAAGATACTTTTCTTAAACGAAAAACAGGAAATGAAAAAATTATGAATGACAAACGGAGCTTGGGAAAATGAGAATAAATACGCATGCGCCAAATAATACAGGTCTAAGCAATTCGTGCTAGGGAGCTAGAACTACTTCGGATGATTCAGAATGGTTCCGAATTAAGTTCGAATAAAACCAAAACAAACATATGCGAAATTCTGAACCGGTCAAAGTAAACACGAACGCATATTGCATGATTGAAACCGTTCGGAACCGAATTTTATGGGAACCAAAACAAAGTTTTAATGTCCTAAAGTAAATCGTACATGATATAAATAAGAGAGGCTGATTCAGGACACGATCACTAAAGAAATAGGTGGCCTACAAACTTTGACCTTGAGCTGCCCAATGGTGTTACAATTTAATATCCATCATCTAACTCAATATTTAGTTATTTGAATTATTTCATTTTAATAATTTCTGCTTGATATACAGGGTGTTAAAAAAAAGAGTGTAAAATATTTAAGGAGGTATGAACCAAAATAAGCAGAAAATTATCAATAAACATGGGTCCGCAAAGTAACGGTTGCGGAGATATGGAATGTTTTATGTTTTTTAGCCCCTTTTTTTATTATGCAAAAACGTTGTGTATTTTCTTATAATAGTTGGTTGATGTTTAGTGAAATAAACAGTACGTATTTGACAGTTGTTCTCAGTGCACAAGTTTTCTTTCGCTATGGCTGGTTACTCTAACGCAGAATTAACAGACATGCATTTCATGTATGGTCGTGCTAATGGGAACGCCACCGAAGCGCGACGTCTTTATGTTGACGCTTATCCAAATCGCCTGATTCCTTCACAACGCATGTTTGGAAGAATTCACCAAAGATTGCGTGATACCGATTCCTTGAGCAAACAGTGCCATTTATCCGGAAGACCAAGGTCGGTATCCACTCCTAGAGCAGAAGAATAAATTCTAGCACTGGTAGAGCAGAATCCAGGTACGAGTGTGCGGAGAATATCAGCCGAGGTAGGAATTAGTGGTCCTCTTGTTTGGAGAATCCTTCACGAGCAACTGCTTTATCCATACCATGTGCAACGAGTACAGGCCTTAAATCCAATAAATGATCATCAAGCACGTTTGGTTTTTTGCCGCTGGTTTCTACGTCATGATGCTGAAGACCCTCGTTTTCTTGCAAACATTCTTTTTACTGATGGGGCCGGGTTCACAAGAAATGGAGTGTTTAATTTTCACAATACGCATATTTGGGCCGACGAAAATCCTTATGCTCTAATAGAATCTGGACATCAGGCACGTTTTTCATTAAACATTTGGATGGGCATTGTAGGTGACAGGTTTCTAGGTCCTGTTGTTTTACCAAACCGATTAACAGGCGCTGCTTACCTCAACTTTCTGCAGAACACACTGTATGAGTTTTTGGAAGACATTCCTTTGAATCAGAGGCAACAAATGTGGTTCCAGCATGATGGTGCTCCAGCTCATTTTTCCATGGCCGTTAGAAAGCATTTACACCAAACTTTTCCACATAGATGTGTAGGAAGGGCCGGACCTGTTTTATGACCTCCAAGATCGCATGATTTGAACCCTCTAGATTTCTTTGTTTGGGGATATTTGAAGACATTAGTGTATGGTACTCCTGTAAATAGCCTGGAAGAGCTGCAGCTATGGATTAATCAAAAGTGTCAAGAAATCCAAATCAAGAAGGGTGTTTTCAAAAGAGTTCGAATATCGTTGAGACGAAGATGTCGTGCCTGCTTGGAAATGGACGGAGGGCACTTTGAACATCTTCTGTAACTTTGTTTTTTGTTTGTTAAAAGCTTCCTTTGTCGGTTTATTCCTAATAAAATAAAATGTTTGCAAAACGAATAGTGATCCATATCTCCGCAACCGTTACTTTGCGGACCCATGTTTATTAAGACTTTTCTGCTTATTTTGGTTCATACTATTACCTCCTGAAATATTTTACACTCTTTTTTTAACACGCTGTATGTTTCTAAACATTGCAGTTGTAACATTTTTACAATTTAGAATATGTAAATTATGATAATGAGTCATAGTTTCGATTTGAATGCAACAAAATTATAACTTTATGGTTTACCTATTTCCAGTATGGACAAAAAGTTGTTCTAAGTGGTCATCGTATACAATACAAGGAGTAACATGTGTTTAATACAATAATTTAATTTGAATTTAATCAAGTTCATTCATAAGCACAATAAGCATTGTAATAATTACCTAATTCTTTTAAAAGTAATATAATACAGGGTGGTCCGAATTTTATGCAGGAAACTTCGAGGGTAGATAGATTTCTTTAAAATAATATGTGTTTGCCTTATAAACATAGGTCTGGAACGGCTCCGTTTTAGAGATACAGGGTGTTGAGGTTTTAAAAAAATATATATTTTTTTATATCGCACACTACCTCACAGGTGGTGTAGAAAGGAGTGTAAATAATTTAGGTGATGTGCTTACAAATTGCACTTACTTTTAAACATAAACAAATATTCATGTAATATTATCGTTAGAAGTGTCTGCCACAAGGGGATTGTATTGGTATGAATAACTTGAGAACGGCGAGTCTTAGGGAAAAAATTAAAGTCACCGTTTTTACGTATTTTTTGCATTAAAATATAAATCATTTACAATGGCATGTAAAAAATGCAGTGGCGTAGGTTTTTTTGTAAAAATGGAGGTGACCCCTGTCCACTTGTACACCACTGGTTGAACCTTTAAAGCTCATATTTCAGGGAATATAAGGCCTACTATCATACATTATATGTACCAAATTTTATTGAGATCGGTTAATAGATTCCGGAGATATAAACAAAAAATCAATTTTTTTGACAACTTCAACACCCTGTATCTCTAAAACGGTGCCGTTCCAGACCTATGTTTATAAGGCAAACATATTATTTTAAAGAGATCTATCTACCCTCGAAGTTTCCTGCATAAAATTCGGACCACCCTGTATAGTAACGAAGCAGATACAATAAAATACCCATATACATATTTTTGCTCTCTAAGCTACAAAACTATCGTTATAATTCTCGACCTCCCTTTTGCAAATTTTTGTAGCGTGTTTTTGTCAATTTTGTTTTTATCTAGGTTTAATGTTCAGTGTATATTGAAAAAATAGGGTTCAAGATTTTTGGGGAGCCTTAAATGTAAGCATACCCGTTGCAGAGGTACTCTAGTACACCACATCTGTACACATTCATGTTGAATCAGGAATCGGGAAGGGAAAGGAAGATGTTACACCAAATTGAAACAAAGATAAACACAATTTTTTTTAATATCTACTTGTGCATATTATTTATTTACTTTGGTAATATTTCATAATACGATTAATACGTAGGTAAATACAGATAAACTAATTAGCACAAATAATAAGTACAACACAAAGTCAGTTGTTTTTCATTATGACAAAATTCAACATTTTTCTTTTACATTTTCAATCACCTCAACTCTGACTCAGTTTAACAGTTGGCCCAAGCATTGTAGAGACATGCTTACAGAAATTATTACCTGGAAAAAAAATATGACCGTATAGGAAATTAAATTTTAAATTTAGTTTCTTGTTCTTTAAACTGGATCCAAATTGGCGAACATGGCCAAAAAAACTCGCAAAGTTACAAAAAACGGTTTTTCTAAAATAACTAAAAAAATATACTTAACTACAGTCGAAAAATTTTAAGTAAGAGTTGTACGTTATAATAAGATCTATCGACTGATTTTTTGTAAGTATCGATAGCTTTGTTTCTTTTCGAGATATATCGAAAATCCCGTTAAAAATCTTCTCTTTTCTCTTCTTCTATAACTCGTTTACATTTACGTTCCCATACTTGCTATTTACTGCAAGCATAGTACGTGGCAAGCCAAAAAGGTACATTTTTGAAAAATTCAAAAATATTTATATTGATTCTTTGAAACGATTTTCGGTTTATTTTCCTCGTAAAAAGATTACCATGCTGTTAAAAAAATTTCACAGAAGCAACTCAGTTTAAAATTTAATTTCCTATACGGCCATTTTCTTCTCCAGGTAATAATTTCCGCAAATTTAACATTAGGCCGTCACAGAATGCTTGAATTAAGTACTTGTCCCAGTAATTTTTGATAGTCTTATACAGTCACTTACTACTAGCGTAGATATGTTCTTTTCTGGTTTAATAAATATACTAGACCATGACAAAAATTTATACCTGTTGATTTCCTTCGGAGCTGATCCTTGCTCTACATATATATTCGAAATTTTTTATAAAAATGCTTAATGCAAATTCTTGTGCAAGCAGGATTAGAAACATCTGTTCGCAACACCATCCAATCTACTCTTCCTTAACTGAGGATGTCTTGGAAACCTGTGGATTTCCCCACTTTACATTACTTTTGCAGGTATCCACATCACAAATTCTGAAGATTCTTCTAAAAACAATTTAAATTTACAACCATACCCTGCAACTTCTTTCTTTTCTCCCATTTGAAACTCTACTTAAATAGGCACTGTCATCGAGAAAATTATTAGGATCTGTCGTACCCAATAATTTCTTTATATGCAAAGTACACTTCATGAACAAGCTTTCCAGGCGTTAATTTAATAGAACTTCATCGTCCAGAGGCTCTATTTAAGTTCTTGGAAGATAAATGAATTTAACACACTTATCTCCGTTATTATTAGCAAAATAACAACTGCTACACTCAATATCCTTTTTGTAATAAGTATTGCCTAGTTCTTCCAAAATTATTACTAAGTCCACTGTGATTTTCCTCACAAATTTCCTATTCCTGGATTTCCTATTCCTGGATTTCCTATTCCTGGATTCCTATTTTAATTATCCCTTCTTTATTCATTTTGCTGTTCACTAACTGTAATATTTAAATCTGCTCCCTTTCAGGTCTCTGTTGTAACATTTAGCTTAAATTGAAATTTTACGTTTTAATAACAATAAGAATCAACAATTTAATTTCAGAAACATCTTGAGGTACGAAGGACCAACTGCTTTCTTCAAAGGTGGTGCTTGCCGAATGATCGTAATCGCGCCACTCTTTGGAATCGCCCAAACTGTGTACTACCTAGGAGTTGCCGAATATTTGTTAGGTTATAAACGAGGTTAAAAATAATTCAGTTTCTCTAAAGCAATTTTAAGTAATAATGATGATTTTACCTCCTTTTTGGATCTATTTTCATATTTATATTTGTTAATTTTTACAAGTGGTATTTTATTTTATTTTTTTAACTTTTCAGTTCGTTGTAGAACTTTTATTTTTAGAACTGCGAAACTTTCCAAATAGGTAAATTTATGAATCATATCGCATTTTATTTATTTTGTTATAAATGTGTAGATGGATGGATTAAGAGTATGTGAAGAAGATGGTAGAAGAAAGGAAATTCAGTATTAAATACTAATCACTGTATTCCTCGAGCTGCTTTTATTTTTATATTTTTTACCATGATTTGTAGCAATAACAATAAATCTATATTATTTTTTTATTAACGCTGGTTGACAAGTTAGTCAAATAGTTGAAAATAGTGACAATAAATATAAGATTTGGTGATGTTTTAGTGATATTTTATTGGAAACATTTATTTATAATTAGAAATTTTTGTAGAACATCTTAAATTTTAGTATTAATCAAAAAGACAAATGATATTAATAATCTTGTCACTTTTTTATTTATGAAATGCCTAAGAATGCTTTCTTCCATTTCTAATACTGGTTTGTAAATAATTATAAACAATTAGTCAATTGTCATTAATGATGCACCTTATAGGAATAATAAATAATGAATAAATAAATAAAATTGTAATTGAGACATGTATGTGAACAAAATGTTATAAGTGAAACCCATAAGTTTCCAAATAATAAATGTAGTTCTGTTAATCTTGTTTTTTATTTCTAAAACAAAAATCCAATTTTCGTTTTCGAGAACTCTTAATGAAAACTTTATATAAAAGATCTAAAAAACTTAAATAATCATTATCTGGATTTATTATATAGAAGGAAATAACATCTTTCAATACTTTACAACTGAGTTAGTATAACACATAAAGATCATAATTATAAAATTACTCGTTAACTAGGTATGTGTCTTTGCTAAATAATCAGCTCGGCTAACAAGTACGAAAGTGATGCACAAAAATGTAACAATGACAACTTTTACTTCTGAAGAATATTATGATATAATTACATACTGTTTCGTACATGAAAATGTAACGGTATATGTGCGGAGGCACGCGTACAAATGGTAGACATGTACCAAGCAGAGGAGTAGTTTTATAAATTGCCCAAACACTTGAAAATTGAAAAGATTGCTTGCCGGTTGACATTACCAAGAGACATAACTACACAAAAATCGATTTCATCCATTATAGTACTGAACAAGTTCCAACGAAGTTGTGTTTACAATGAAAGGATTTTTTAACAAAAGGAATGGGTTCAAGAAGAATCTTTAGGCAGAACGGTACAATAACAGATTAATACCTATTAGAAATACATGGCCGGTTTCTCCACTTTTATTAACAAACGCGTGGAGCCGTTCTTTCTCTACTTTGACCTTGCCATAATAATTATACAAGGGTTATATTATTATACAAATAATTCTGATTGTAGATACGATAACTATTAACAAAAAAAATTCTGGATGTACAGAGGACCCTAACAAATACAATTTTATAAAGAAAAAATCAAAAAGGGCAGTTCGAAAATGATTTAAAAATACACTTCTGCACGGCACTGGAAACTGGTCCACTGTAAAACCTGACCTCGCACAATGCGACCGGCATGGCGGTGTGATAAAAACGAACAAAAACTTTCGCAAGGAAAGAAATATGTAAATAGAATTTTATCGCACCTATTTTATATCGGCAAATTCAACTGCTTTTGCCTTTATTAATTAATAAAATTAATTTGTGTTTTTAAGTAATAAGATCATTTTACATACCCGATGTTACAACAATTATTGTTCAATATTTTATCCATCAATATATAAACACATTTGGGTCCGTTGTACTCAGTTTCTACGAACTAACACAAATGTTGTCTTGTTTCACCATAACACAAATGCTTCACCATAAATTAAAACGATATCCATCAACTCCGAGTACACGCAAACCATTTTTGACACAAATTACTCATTTTTGACACTAACTACTAAAAACCTGTTGTAAACACCACAGACAGCAAGTAAATATCGCAACGACGATTGCAAAATCCGAATTCAGTATTCGGAGTCGCTGAGGCCACGTGGCGAATGACGCTAGAGACTACAGTTGTCCAGCTATGTAGTGGTTGAATGTACTATAACTTCAATATTTTTTTTCTCAGAAACTATAAGGATTTTACAAAACTTTTTTTACGATATTGATTCCATTTCTCATGCTGCATCTATTCCCAAATTTTTTTGGATAAGTTGTGAATCACCCTGTATAGAATGATTAAAAAAATGCGATATGTGCGACATGTAATCGATGTCACCAAAAAAGTTGTAATAAAATATTTGTGTATAGATTTTGAGAAAAAAAGTTATGAAAAGTTATATTTAAAAGCAACATAATGTTAAACGAAACGACTATAGTGTATTTATTAAAATGTACATTAAATATTTTGTGAGCGTCCCTCCAGCTTCCGCTGATTTGATTTGCTAAATGCATATTTATTCTGTATAACTGTGGTTTTCATAGTGGTCTGGTACCGTGGTTCATGGTTTACGTCACTCTTATAAATGTTCAAAATAGCTTATGTGCGGTGGTTCAATGAAGCCGTCGAAGTAAAAATTGACGACCGAATCGTGGACATACTGTAACAACTAAAGAACAAATTTTAAATATTGCGAACGAAAATCCCTGTAAAGCAAATTATTCGACAAGCGTCCAATCAACAGTATGGAAAGTCAAATGTATCCGTCCTAACATGTGTCCAAGCTCATTAGTACCAACAGATATTTTTTTCGCATTATATTTTGTTAATGGTACAAAATGCTCAAAATCCCCGATTTACACCTGCTGTATACTGTATTTATGCCAAATGGAATACCTAAATAATGTTATAGTAAATACACTCACACACAACACAATATTATACCTAATAATAAACACACATCTTTTGAACGTGGAAATATGTTTGCAACACAACGAGTCGCTTCCAGCACTGTTTGTCTTTGAATATTTTGGTAGGTATTGTAGACGATCGCTTAATTGGATCTTGGTTTAGATAAAATTGGTAGATTGGATGGTTTTCAGTATATCGAATTTCTTCGAAATAATATGCCTGTACTTCGCTGTTCCACCAAAAAATTGGACCTTGCAGTATAGTCGCTATTACAATTCAAGAAATATGGTAGATTGGACGAGGAGAATCTGTAACTTAGCCGCCGCGGTCTCCTGACTTAAAATTTCACGATTTTTTTTATGGAGACATTTAAAAAATGAAGCGAAAACTATTGATGATTTACTTGAACATACTACAGCTGCTGCCAATAATTTACGACTGTGAGACCAGTGAGAAGAAGGAACATTTGTCTTGATTCATCAAAAGTAGATCAGATCAGCCCAAATGTGTTAACAAGTCGATGGACAATCAGTAAAATCACGTAATAAAATATCTACTACTCTCGATTGAAATACTAATTAACATTGACTAACTACAGGGTGTTAGAAGTTTGACTGCCTTAATTTTAACAGACGATAGAATACATTAAAATAAACAAAAAAACCTTATATGACGTGGGTCCTAAACTCAACCATTTCCGAGAAAAAAATTATCAAAATCTTGGTGCACAAACGTTCGATTAATTAAGGAATATTGACATAACTGCGTGCATAGAATACCATAAAATACAATGTTTATTACTTTTTTGAACTTCTTTATGCTTAATTATAAAAAATAATTAGCGTTGTAATAAATTTAAAATTCGATCAAATTCATATCGAGCAATGTGACAACGGCGCGGCGGATAACACGAGGTACTAAGCTGGCCAGCAATACGCAATTCAGTTGGTATTTGAAATTGGGCCGTGTCTGAGTGTTTTTTACGTACCACTATTTCCTTTTCTTGAGGCGTTTTCCAGCGAGTGCGCGATTCGAAGGTATGGTGCGTGCATAGAAAATGGTGGTAGACATTTTAAGGAGATGTTGTAGTTTGTTTTGTACTTGTGCTTTTAAAAATTACTGAATTTTGCTTTTTGTTAAGTTCCTAAATTATTTTTAATACGTATGATTATTTGGATGACGTGAATCTTTGTGTACTTTAATTACCTACATATTTTCAAATTCATAATTTGATTAATAGTTAAGTTCCTATTTTAAGAGATTCATAATTACTAAAATTAGAGCTAAAATTTAAGCACAACACTATTTTATTTATTTAAAAACTGGAAAACAATTGTCTTGAAATTTACTAAACGTGCAGCATCAGCCGTGTAGCGTTAAGTTAAACGCTGTTGTCACGATGTAATGAAACTCCCCAATATTAATACTCGCTGTATTTTGAAAACTATTACGCCCCTGTAATATACAACTTTTTTGTTCATTTATGATTACTCTATCTCATGCTGAAGTAATGGCAGTCAAACTTCTTACACCCTGTATATTTAATAGTAAGAATTAATAACAATAATAAAAATTATACCTTGTAAATTCTTGTCTTTTTTGTGTTTAAATTTTTTGTATGTGATGATTGTCCAAGTCCATGTACAACCCTATATCATGTACTACAGGTGTCCAAGTTCCAGTGGATGTGGATAAATATTTTAAAATAATATTTGAACTTTCTTTTGGCTTCTTTCTTGCACTATGGTCCATTAAACATCCCATTTTTTATTGAAATTGTAAAAATCACCTTGTATAATATGCAGTTTAATAAAAACATCGTTTATCGACAGGGCTAACGGGAACGCATATTTAACTTTTCTGTAAGACATTATTTAAAGATTTGCCTTCAGATATCTTGCATTTCTTGGTCCCCCATGAGCCAAGCTTCACATAGATGCACTTTTTGGAGATAAAAGAAGAAAGAGAATTTATAATGAACAAGGCAATGTCACAAACATAATTCGTGAGCAACGGGAGAAGAGAGTGGCTTGGACAAAACGTTCCGGATACCTACTTCTTCACTTTTTCTCTTTATTTAGACTTCAAAAATTTAGTGAAATGTTAATATTGTAGTATAACAACCCCGGGTTCGATCGAAAAAAAATATAAACGTAATTGTGGCCAAAAATATGTGATCGTCATAAGGAATACCTACGTTGTATACCTCTATTCTTTATTGACCGGAAGGCGCTGGCTACTAACTTTAAAGAGGGGAAGTATGGTTTAATTTTATAAAACAAAAGCAGAGTAAATACACCTAACTTTATTATTTATGTACAACAGTCTTCAAATTAAACATGTGACAAATAGAAAGAACAACAAAAACATTAACAACCATTTAACATAAAATGAGAGTGCCAGGCTCACCTAGAGCTCCTGTGGGGAAAGAGTATGGCAGAGAAACCCACGATCGTTGCTCTAACTACCCAAATATAAATACAAAACAACTGCTAACAAAAGGCATAAAGATCCTTTGCTAATGATAATTAAGACCTGACTTATTTAATGTGTAACTAAATGTCACCTCACTCGAATTAGACATACACACTTCCAAGTAAAACTGAAGGGGTTTGGTGTTAGTTAGCCGGCAGGGCCGGAAGGTACTGGAGTCCCATACGAGAGGCAATCCAGCTATAGTTGAGATTTCGGAAGATCTGTTTTAGCAATTCTTTTTTTGTATTTAATTATTCTTTTTTTTTCAGATTCGTTCCTCACGGACGAAAATGTTAGTGAATTCAAGAAGGCCCTTATATGCGTCTTGACATAAAGTGAGCACAAGAAATCAAAGAACAACGTAATCATGATAAAACAAGTTAAATGTGAAACAAATGAGTTGTTATTGCAATATCCGGGCAGTCACGACAATATATATATATTAACATGTAATAAATAATGAGCAATCGTTAATAATAATTGCAACAATTTTACCTTAGAAAAATATATGCCCTTGAACATAAAGCAATGGAGGCTAAACGTATACAGAATTATTATCATGAAAGGTCTATAATCATCACAATCATAAGATTACATAGAACAATTAACAGCAAAGTACTTAGAGAATAATTACCTGTTAGTGAATACGGGTTAAACACTTTTAATTTTTCACTATTTTGCCACACTGCCCGCCGATCGTCTTACTACCCATCTCCACACTGTTCTCACTTCAACTATTTAGGCTTCCTCCCAGAATTCTCCACCTATAAGCGCTTGTTTTTGCGCTTCATTCTACCAACTGTCGATATTACGTTTTCATTATTATACAACACCCATGTAACAGGTGACGTCGAAGTTGATACGATAAGTATGGTTTTGCACAATATGTATAAAAAATAAAGCAATAAAATTTAAAATACGTACGTGAAAGACTCTAGAGGATTTTTATGCGAATTGAGTATAATGTTCCTTCGAAACAAAACTTACGTTCTATATTATTGTTTATCAATCAATTATTTAATAGGTTCGTGTAATATGGCTTTTAAAAGACACATCTGATGCGCGGTTCCAAGACCTATATCAATATTATCTGGCATACATAATGGAGCAATGACTTCGCAAGCGTAACACTGAATATTAGAAATTAAAAAAATAGAAAAATAGAAAATAGACGGTATCCTAAAACGTATTTTTAGAGTCACTGTATATTTAACTTTTTAATAACCAGAAATTGATTTTAACTGTGACTCTATGTACATGTATATTAATATATTCTGTAATATAACACCAGAATTGAAATCCAGTATTCCGTAAACAATACAAATGACAGCAGCAACAAGGCTTCACTCTTAAACCAATTTAGCCTTAGTAGAAATCATGCATATAACCGAGAGGACTTTGTTATTGAATCATCCAAGTGAAACAAATGCAGCTAATGGACTTTCGCTGTGTTTTGCTATTGTTTGCATTGTAGATGTTTTCGGAGTATTTCCAATAGTAACTTTACCGAAAGCGATTATAGACTGTGGTATATAAAACACTGCCTAAAATTAATTATTACGAACTGAATAAACATTCACATTTAAGGATATTATGGTATTCTGCTCGTAATAATAGTTTGTTCCTCGCAAATCTATACAGCTATCTTACTGGGGAAATGTTGGCTTATAGCAGAAGAAATAGACCCTGCGATGAGTAACAGGAATCGTTATCCGTATTTGGCGTTGGCTCAAATAACATATGGCAAATGTTTGTCTAACATTGTAACATTTCTGCTGGACTTAACAATTTTTGGAGGAGGAATACCAAATTTGATTGTTGGTAAGTTGCAAAGAAACTAAGATACAAGTGAAAATAATGCTAATGAATGATATTCCCAAAAACATATAAAAATCATTTTATCTTTTTTCATTTTCATGTTTCCTAATTTTTATTTTACTTTAAACCTAAAATACTATCATAAAAACAATTACTTTTGTACAAATCTGAAAACAATCTCAATTAGTTTACACATTAAAGTAAAAGTACATGAGTTAATATTGAAAAATGTATAACTTTAAAAGTACATTTTCTTAACTGTTTTGTTTTTCTCTAAAAAAATCAAAACGCTTCAAGTGATGTAAAATAATATATCTACTTAATTAGACATATATTTTTACAAAAAAGGCAATAAAACGCTAGAAAATTGTGTGCCTCTTTTAATTTTCGTTAAAAAAAAGATGTTTATTTACATCTTTATCATTTTTATAGCTTTTATTTCCTACTCTAGTACAGCGGCTCTTAACCTTTGGTTTACCGCGAACCTCTTTTCAATATTTTTTTGTTGTTGCGGACCTACTAGTTACGAGTCCCAATTTAAATGGGTTTGAAATATTAACTCCAAATTGCACAGCAAACGTAAATTTTGGAAAGATAAACAATAACTTACACTCTGATATAAGAGAGTGCATTTTCTGAATTAGTGATTACATGTTTCTAAAAATTTCGCGGACCTCTTGAGAGGAGATGGCGGGCCCCCAAGGGTCCGTGGAGCATAGGTTAAGAACCGCTGCTCTAGAATAATATAAATTTTCAGCTTCTCGTACCCTAGAACTACTCGGTTTACGAATAACTGACCATAATTTCGATATACCCTATTGCTACTGGATGATTATTCTGGGTGCAGCTTTGTGTCCGATACTTTGGCTTGGAAGCCCCAAAGATATGAAGTAAGTACGCAGCTATAGATGCATGGATTAAGGTTGAATGAAAGTTTATTAACCGTTGATCAGAAGTTAACTGCGGGTTAAGTGCAAATACATGTTATAGTTTCACTCAAATTTAACCAACTGCCCTTGAAACTGAATCATCTAAAATGATAATTTAACTAAAGTTCGGAAAAAGAAAATGTCAAGGTGACAGAAATAATTTCTAAATTTACAATGAAATACCGCTTTCGCTCAAAAATGATTTCAAAATATGAAGATAATTGAGGGTGATAATTGAGGGCTATAGTTGAGGATGATAATTGAGGGGTGATTGAGGGTTAATGGGTGAAAAACATTTGGTTTAGTTAAAATGGTGCTGTTTTTTTGGTTTAGTTAAAATAAAAAAGATGTGGTGTTATATCGCTGTATACTAATGTACAATAAATACATTTCTGCATATTTAGTACCATGAGCAGGGAGACTAGACACCAAGAGCATAGCCAGATACCGTAAACTCTAACTTATTATTAATAAAAATCCGAAATATTACTCTGGTGCTGTTTGATGAAGAAATTATTTTTCCATTACAACAATATATAGACCAGTGCTTAAGCCTTCAAAAATGGTAAAAAGTGAAAAAAAATTATAGAAGGATGAAACCCATTGGAAAAGGAAGAAAATATAACAGAAATGAAAGGAAAAATAATTTACGGGCGATCTGAGGTCGGGAAGGGGAAGGGGGTGAGTTTTTAAGGGTAAAAAACGGATTATCTTGATTTCCGGAAAAACTACAAGTCTTATGGAAAAAAGTTAAATGGCAAAGTTGCAGGTAATAAAAAGATCTACAACTTTTGTATTTACACTTTTTTCACATAACCTCAAAATTTATGTGAAAAATTCAAATAACCAAGTTTTTGGTTTTTTATTTTTATCTTTTACAAAAAAATTTTTTTTTCACGAAATTTGGTGAAAACTTACCTATTTATGTCCCAAACACGCTGTAATTTTTTTGATTTGAAATATTTATTTTTTCACCTTATTTTTACTTAATATCGAAAAAGCACCCTAATTTTCAATCGAAAATTCTCACGTCAAAATATCTGCTTTTTTAAAAACGTCGGTGGGCTTTTTCTTCGTTGAAATCTCTACTTTCTGATGGTGTAAAAAAAAATATACATTACTATGGTAAGTTTTCTCAGGAAATGCAAAGAAACGAACTAGAATCCGAAAATTTTTTTCTAATCATTATGTACAATTTTGAGCTATTTATTAAAATTTACACTTTAATTACTCGAAAAACGTAAGATTCCATGTTACATTGATAAACAAAAAAATTACAAGTCGAAATATACTATTATAATTAACAACCAAATAAGTTAATAAAGTTAATATTTAATAAGACATCTACAATATTTTGAGAAAGTTGTAGAATCTTCTTTCGTTTCTTTGCATTTCCTGAGAAAACTTACCATAGTAATGTATATATTTTTTTACACCATCAGAAAGTAGAGATTTCAACGAAGAAAAAGCCCACCGACGTTTTTAAAAAAGCAGATATTTTGACGTGAGAATTTTCGATTGAAAATTAGGGTGCTTTTTCGATATTAAGTAAAAATAAGGTGAAAAAATAAATATTTCAAATCAAAAAAATTACAGCGTGTTTGGGACATAAATAGGTAAGTTTTCACCAAATTTCGTGAAAAAAAAATTTTGTTTGTAAAAGATAAAAATAAAAAACCAAAAACTTGGTTATTTGAATTTTTCACATAAATTTTGAGGTTATGTGAAAAAAGTGTAAATACAAAAGTTGTAGATCTTTTTATTACCTACAACTTCGCCATTTAACTTTTTTCCATAAGACTTGTAGTTTTTCCGGAAATCAAGATAAACCGTTTTTTATCCTTAAAAACTCACCCCCTTTACCTTCCCGACCTCAGATCGCCCGTAAATTATTTTTCCTTTAATTTCTGTTATATTCTCTTTCTTTTCCAATGGGTTTCATCCTACTATAATTTTTTTTTTTTCAAAAATTATCGACCCTGGTCTAATAATAGTAAGCATTAGTTTTATAAGCTATGCTAATGATAAAAGTGGGGTTCACAAAGCATAATACAGTTTATACTTTGTAGGAGAGTTAATTAAATTTCTGGAACAGAAATAATCACATTTATATTTCTGTGACAGTACCCAATATTCAATGTTTATCTATAAACATTGATTTTATAAGTCAATGAAATATGTCATATAGGGGGATTATTTACATTAAATTATAGAAATATCTCCAACAACAGGTGTTGCCAACTAAAAAATATCGTAAAACCATCGGTTCCTTGTTCTTCTTTGATAATACTAAATTCAGGGTGGGCTCTTGATAACGAAACAGAGCGAATAGCCCTCAGGAAAATTATTTTTCCGTAAAACGCCGAGACAGATCGATTTTTGATCCCACTTTAGATCAAAAATCTTTTCTCATAAATTTCTTGCTATAGACTCTACCCACCTACGGAGGGGCGTGGAGTGAGTAACCTCCCCAAAAATCTTAAGAGGCAAGACGGGTTAATTCTCTATACAACCGTGTTTTACTTTTTGAATTTGACCTACTAGTTTCGGAGATACAGGTTGTTAATAAAAAAACTTACTTTTTAGAAATTGATTTGCAAATTACTACAAGTCAGTCAATTAAGTGTTTAAATTGATAACCTCCAGTCTCCATGCAGTAATGTAAGTTCTGCAAAGAGCGTTCACGCATATTTTGTAATATTTCTGGATTAACTTGGCGGCATTCGTTGAAAATTTATTGGAGTAGATTTTGAAGGGAACTAGGTGGAGTGAAATAAATTTTGGACTTAAAGTGATCCGACAAGAAAAAGTCCAAAGGAGGCAAATCCAACGATCGTACAGTTCATTCTATGACGCCTCTTCTTCCAATCCACTATCGCAAACCTACGATAAAGATACTGCCGAACAGGCAGGGCGTAGTGTGGGCGGGCTCCATCCTTTTGGAATGTCAACTGCTCTTCGAGATAATTCTCATTATTCTCGATAATGTTTGTCAACGCTGGATCAATGTTGTTCTTCAATCAATCCAAGCAGGTCTCCCCGGTGAGATTACTTGGTAAGAAAAAAGAACCAATAATACCACCATCAAGAATTCCAGCCCATACATTTAATTTTTCCGAAATATCCTTGGATTAGAATCGGACCAATAACAACAATTTGGCGGTGACATTAACAGAAGCAAACACTAAAAATAAAATCAAGATTGTTAATAGCTCGATCACTCATTATTTCACAAAATTGTAGTCGGCGGTCAAAGTCATCTTCATGATCATGATGTTCTTGTGCAAGGTGAATTTGGTATGGTTGAAATTTATGACGTTTCAAAATTTTGCGAATTTTGTTTCGTTCTGGAATTTATAGTAATATGGCCAAGAACTGCCACATCTACTGTTTCATTTCTTTCGGGGTGTCGTTTTTTATTACCTACAGATCCAGTCTCCTCAAACTTGGCCACTAACTCCAAAATGTACTTCCTGTGAACGTGTTTATCCAACTGTTACTGATTAAGGTGGCCATATTCCTGGCCGAGAAATAGTGAAATTTCTGGCGTTTTTAGGTACTGAAATCTTTAAAAGTAAAACGTGTAGAACAAAAGTAAGCACAAAAATAAAATCCTTGATGTTCTGTTTATTCATTGTTACCATTTAAATTTACTCAAATAAAATAATAACTAAAAAAAGCCGTTTGTAGTACATTCTAACTCCACATTTTAAGAATTATTTTCACGTATTTATAAATAAAAGTAAACAATTTTATATGTAGGACTAAGCAAGTAAATGTTATAAGAATATTTACATGTGGAATTATACAGGGTGATTCAGAACTTATCCAAAAAAAAATTCTGGATGTACAGGGGATTCTTACAACTACAATTTTGTAAAGAAAAAATCAAAAAGGTCAGTTCGAAATTGATTTAAAAATACACTTCTGCACGGCACTGGAAACTGGTCCACTGTAAAACCTGACCTCGCACAATGCGACCGGTATGGCGGCGTGATAAAAACGGACAAAATCTTTCGCAAGGAAAGAAATATGTAAATAGAATTTTATCGCACCTATTTTATAGCGGCAAATTCAAATGATTTTGCCTTTATTAATTATTAATAAAATTAATTTGTGTTTTTAAATAATAAAATCATTTGACATACCCGATGCTGCAACAGCAATTGTTCAAAATTTTATCCACTCACGTGTAAACACATTTGGGTCCGTCTTACTCACTTTCTACGAACTAACACAAATGATGTCTTGTTTCACCATAACACAAACGCTTCACCATAAATTAAAACGATATCCATCAACTCCGAGTACACGCAAACCATTTTTGACACTAACTACCCATTTTTGACACCAACTACTAAAAACGTATTATAAAAACCACAGATAACAGGTAAATATCGCAACGACGATTGCAAAATCCGAATTCAGTATTCGGAGTCGATGAGGCCACGTGGCGAATGATGCTAGAGACTACAGTTGTCCAGCTATGTAGTGGTTTAATGTGCTATAACTTCAATAATTTTTTTCTCAGAAACTATAAGGATTTTACAAAAAATTTTTTTACAATATTGACTCCATTTCTCATGCCGCATCTATTCCCAAATTTTTTTGGATAAGTTATGAGAATCACCCTGTATATAAAAAAGTTAGTATTTTCGTAGATTTCAGTACCTAAAACCTTGATGGTTTGATTGTTTTTTGCACCTGTTTATACGTTTTACTGCGGCGTCTTTGAAAATACTCAGGTGGTATGACATAACATTCCTATTATTTGATAAGCTTTAGATTATTCAGTTATTAAATGTTTGAAATTATTTGTCTTTGCGGAAAACACTATTTAAAGAATATGGGGCCCTTAAAGATTTCTGCTGTCCTATTAGCACACTGATTATTTCCATTATGTGCAATTATTTCCACACTTTGTGGAATCGAATAAACCATAATGTTAATCAAGAATAAAATAATAATTCACTCAATGCCCGTTCTGATAATATTATTTATTATTTCAATTTATTATGAACAGTAAAAGGGTATGTCACTCTGATATAGGGGTTGACACTAGGCGACTAATTTTAGCTGTGGTCCATATAAATGCGACGTACGACGGCGACGTAGGTTCAACATTTGTAATAGTTTTAAAAATTGATTAACAGTTTTATCGCAACTGATGGAGAAACAAAAGTTTGGAAATAAATTTGTAAAAAGTAGATTTTTTTATTAAAATCCTGAATCTCCTAAACTAAAACACGGTCGTGTAGAGAATTAGAATACATTTCGAATGATGCGTCACTTAACTCTCCTTCCCAATTAAGATTTTCGGTTGCCCTGCTATTTCCCTAAGGAAAGAGAGGGGGGAGTCTGATACAAGAAGAAATGTATGTGAAAAGATGCCCCCCTTCGATAAAAAATCGATATTTTCGGAAATATAATTTTCCTGAGTTTCGTTTTCAAGAGCCCATCCCGTTTATTGCTACACTGCCTCTTTTCAGATGTGTATGTTCATTATCCGTTTTCATGGTTATAAGTGTATTTATTCTGGTAACTGGTTGCTTATTATTTAGTACTAACTCAAACAGAACTGCAACTGGCACAGATCAAAACCTAGAAGACATTATACCAAAAGAAATTCCACTCTGGAAATCCATGCTAACGGGTTATGGCATTATAGCATTTCAGTTTGATATCCATCCGACGATTTTAACAATACAAATGGACATGAATGATAAAATGAAACTGCCTAGAGCTGTTATTGGCGCTTTTGCAGGTAAGAAAATCGATGGATACTAGTCTTTAGAAAATTGTTATCTAAATTAAGTAATTGTAAAATATTCCTGCAGTAGATATTATTTGTACCCTCTAAGTAGTATTTTAACGGCGATAAAGTAATATTGTCGTGAATTTTGATTGGTCGCCAATCAAAATTGGCCTATCATTATCCCTTAGCATGTCGAGGGAGTCATGCTCTCTCATTGTGGAATCGAATTGAGCGACGGACCCTGGAGGCTCCATTGTTCTCTACGGTACCGGGAGGTTAGTCGCCTACTTGCTTGCAAGGGGATTTCCAGGATGTTCGGGAGTCTTCCCCTTCCCGCCAACCAAAACAGACGCTTGGGCGAGATGACGTCGATGGTGTCGCTCTTCCACCATTGATGACGAGATTGCTTGGCCTTGGAATAATAGTCTACGCTCTATTTTGTTACCTAAAGACACACGTGACACTTGCAATATGCTTAAGTTATGAGTTTGTTTTGTTTTGGAAAGTTTTGACCTTAACCTTGTATATTTTTTATTTTGCATTATCTTTTATTGAGGACCAGGGTCGAGTATGATATTCTTATATATTTTATCACTGCCTTTTGTACTGCTCGTGTCGTGAGCTGCTTTTGGTAATTGTGAGAAAAATATAACTCGAATTTGTATTTTAAAAATTTGGGGTTTATTGAGTAAAAGCTGTAAATAAATAAAAGCAACTATTTGCATATATAAAGCACAGGAACATTGTGAGCGTACTTTGAGTACTGGCCAGGTTCTGATCACTATTTATTAAACAGCATCGTCCTCGGGCTGACGTTCGAACGCTGTCGACGTTGGTTCCGCTGGGCGGCCTGGAGTGTGGTCCGTCTGGAACATTTGCGTGCATTTTGAAAAACCGTCTCTTTGTGAATTGAGAGCGTCTCTAAAGGGTTTTGGTGCTGAAAATGATTTTGATTAGATTAGTACTGATTCTGAAGTCGTTTTGAGGTGCAAATTTGAAGTTTCTGGGGCTTCGTAATTTTCGTAATTTTTGGAAGGTGTGGTAACAATTTTGGCGCCATTCTGAGATGCTGGCGGTTTCTGTGCGATGATGACTATGCATCGTCGTTATCTGATGCGGTTGATGACTTTTGGCGGCAATCAGGGTATCTTAGCGGTTTGGCGGGAATTTTTGGAAAGTGTGGTGAAAATCGCTGACGCCTTCCTCCATGGTAGCGAAGGTATAGCGCAACCTGCGTCCTCCGAGCTGCGTAATAGGTCTGCGATGATTTGTGGGGATCTTTTTGAAAGATTGATGAAATTTTTGGAAACATGGGTGAATTTTCAACTGCAATTACATTAATCAATTGCATCGATTGCATTATTACATTAGTTAACGCATATTGTTGTTAATTTTGACTATATGTAAAATGTTTTAGCCTTTACCATATTTTTTATTGATGCACGAATGAAATATCTTTGAGAGTGCATTTAGGAACTGGTTTTATTAACAATAGATCTATAATGTTGATGGTTTCACTTTCATTGACTCTGATTGTACCAAAAACACCTTTCCACGCTATTAATTTTGTAAAAGAACATTTCCATTATTTTTCGTATATTTTCCACAATTTAGTAGTAACTCATCTACTGCCTCTGACGCCTCTTCTTTTACATCTGAGGAAAATTTTTCTTATTCAAATTCGTTTTCAGATATATCTGCATAAACTTTTTGCAAATTCCATAACCCATACTATCAAAATTTTAAACTGTCCTTAATAATAATTTCGTACGTAATTCGTTTTTTAGGTGCTATATAAAAAAAACAGAATTTTATACAAGACGGGAAAAATGTAATTATTGACAATGTATAATAATTGCGCGATGTCATCGCTTGTGATGGTACTTCCCTCTTGTCTTCCATAAATTACCATTTTATTGTTATATAAAAATGAACTATTTTTAGTACCTAGTAATCAATTTTTTCTTACTGCATCTGTATTTCAGCAAGCTTATGCATGTGTGGTATAACCACCATATTATCTTCCATAAAATATGGAACCAATACAGAATCAAGTATTTTGGAGACATTACCAACAACAATCCCATTAGAAATCACTGCAGGTTTGACAGCCCTTCAATTATATCTGACATCAGTAGTTAGCAACAATGCTCTTTATCAGCATTTGGAAGACTGCCTCAGCATTTCCAGAGGTATATGATTTTTTTTATATCTTTAAACCATTGATTAGTGCATTAGTGCAAACAAATCTTATTCCTTAATTCGACGTCAAATTTCTAAACCCTCGTCAAAAATTAATATAAAAAGTTCCTTTACAATATACTAACTTGAAGATATTTTGACAACGGTTTTTTTGTATTATGCATCTTGTAAATCAGTAAACATATTTTTTGTAAAATGAAGATTATCTAGCATGAAGAAGTACTGGCAATTGAAAAAATTATGCTTCTTGAAAGGTTAAAACTCAAAAAAAGATCTAAGTGAAAGTGCTACTTTAAGAAAATGTTATTATTAAGTTTTTCAGAAGTATTTATTTATATCTGAGGAATATCACAGCTTTCTTTTATGTATTTTTCTTGGTTATAATTGTTATATGAAGGTACATTTTTTTTTAATTTATCTCGGAATACACAGATCATCTTCAAGCTATTATAGTATTGTAAGAAATCATAATTGATCCATAGTCTTTTTGAACCTTTTGATCAAGGGAAGTTTAGCAGTCAAATTAAGGAACATGTCATTCAAATCAATAAAGTAAGTAGGTCGATTTTTTTCAGATTTCAACCCTAAAAGGTGTGCTCTAAGAACCATTTTGCTAATATTAGCAGTAGTTATAGCCCAAGCTGTTCCAAGTTTTGATTTGGTTATGTCGACCATAGGTGGAACCCTAATTGGACCTCTTGTATTCATTTTACCACCACTATTTTACTTAAAAATGTTATCCTTACAAACTGATCACGAACAGGAACTCACCATGGAATCTTTGGAACCTCTTACAAACATAGTATATGACAAGGATACTAATTCAAAAAGTTTGCAAGAATACAGAGAACACCCCTTTAAAAAAGATATTAATCTTTCATTAAAATTAGCTCAGACTAACTCCAAACAACTTTTCAACAAATATTTTGTAAGAGGTGTGTGTCTGCTGATAATAATTGTTTATTCCATTGTTACTACTGTTACCACTTATTTAAATTTTAAGAGTGCAACTTTGTCGTATAGTAACTACACGAAACCTTGTATTTATAATATATCTACAGCATTACTATACTTATAATCGTTTTTTATGGGATAAATAAATTATTGTGAAATATATACTATGTCTCATTTACTTTTTAGCAGAAAGAAAGCATGCATTAAGGCTCCTTTACACTGATCCCTTTGGATGATCATCGCAGATGAATCACCCATCGTCAACAAAAAGTGAACATGTAAATAGTAAATGATCAAAAGTGATCATCTGAAATGAACGACGAATGCAGGTAGAATCTGTTCTTGCTTTACTTCTGAGATGAACCTTCGATTAGTAGGTACATTTTGAATAATTCACCCACGGAGATCATCCAAAGTCACCCGTGTACCCTAAATACACAGGGTGTTTCGCATACGAACCGACACATATGTAACTTTTTTAAAACAAGTTTATCATGTTTTTCTCACCCAATCGCGCCCAACTCTAACGCCGCCACTGTCATTGACAAGCGTACTGGTCTTTGATTTTTACGGATGAGTTATTTCTAAATTCCATGTAACTCTAACTCTTCGGTTTGATTGAAATTATCTTAATTTTGCTGGATTTTTTGTGCTTCTCTATAGAAAGAAAGAAATCTTCTCTTTCTCTATCTCTCTCTCTCTATTTCGCCGGAACTGAGTTTTAACGTAACATCGTTATTGACAACTGCGAACTAAACAAACTTTGGAAGAATTTCATCAAAGGCTCATCACAGACTTAGCAAAGATGTGCACCAGATTGATCTTCTTCTGCTTTAAGGACCAATTTTATAAACAAACTGAAGAAGCAACTATAGGTTCAGGCTTGTCATCCGGTTATAACAAATATTTACATGGAAGCCTTCTAGAAGATAGCTCTGGAGTCAGCAACTCTAAAGCCAAAGTGTTGATTCAGATATGTTATCGATACATTTATTATCTAGCCCCATGGATGTAACAACATAGAATAATTCCTAAACCACATCAATGGAATACATCCCAACATTAGGTATCTTCCCATGGAGATGGAAGAAAATAGTACTCTGGCCTTCCTAAAGATTCTTGTCGAGAGAAAACCAGGCACCCTAAGGCATAATGTTTGCAGAAAACCAACTCGCAGGGATAGATATCGTCGAATTTCATCACCACCCAACTCAGAAACAAAGCACATCAATCAGATGAATTCAAAAGGTAGTGTTTCGTAATTCATACTGAAAATTTTTCTTAAGGAAAATGCTGAATAAAACGCCGAGCATATGTAAATATTATATTTTTATTCATACGTTACAAAACCTTCTACAGATAAAATCAATAAATAATAATAATAATATATCTTAAAGAGCTACACGCAAGATTTCGTAAAAAGTACTTTCTTCAGTCATAATATAAAAATATCACTAGCGTCTCTCACGTCTATCTCACTACATTCAGATGTCGAAGAGGAAGAAACCTCCGCCGATAGTGGGGCTCACCGGTTGCCGACGTGGGAGTAATACTTTGTTGATAGTGTGGATGACGCCATTCGTAGCTAGAGTATCACAACTTGTCACCACCCCCTTGTTGATGCGGATCTGACTGCCGGATCTTCCGATTTCGACGTGGCTGCTGCCTAGAGTAGAGACGAAGCTGCTGAAGCCCCAGGACTGTGGTCCTACGCCAGCGCAGCAAAGCACCTCTGAAAATTAAAGACAAGGAATAAATTGAGGATGAAAAAACAATTAAATTTCTTTAATGTTTCTGACTGTAAGAAGGTTCGTTTCAAAATTACCGTTAACCGTAAAAATGGTGAAAAATTAGACCAGTTTAAATATATGATATATATTTATATCCCAAATTATTTCTTAATCTGCATTTTCAAAAATTTGTGTTTTCGTTTGTTCATAATTAAAAATTATTTAGTAATAAAGTAAAGTAAGTTAGTTTAGTCTGATTCACGTAGTTGATAAGGCATAAAACATTAATTTGAGTAGGTTGCGGAATATCCCTTTTGTATTCAAGGAAGAAGAAACTATTTGAAAATATAAAAGTGACGTGGCAACTGTACCAATATTTTTTCGAATACTGCTCCAAAAATATACGATAAATTAATTTGACGCTTATAGTAGAAATATGTGTCGATGAGATTTTGGTATGCCATAGTGTCATATGCCATAATCATAGAAACCAAACATACCAAATATCAATAATAATTTGTTCTGGTCGCCATATGTGTATTCCTGCCGTGTTGAGAAATTTTCGTAAATATTATTCTGGCTTATAATAATGCTTAAATATCAAGAAAAAAAATAGGGTTAAAATATTACCGAATGAAGTGTATGAATGGAAAGTGGAAAGCGAAATGGGTTTTTCAATTGATGGAGAATATTTCCCCGTTGAAATATCGAAAGCTACAGAAAATGCAGTATCGTAACTTATTCCACAAAAATTTGGAAGATAATATGAAACAGCTTATAATGACTTGTGCTGTGATAAAAACTTCCATATTATGATCAATTTTCTGTTGATCGTTGAAAAGTACATTGAATATTAAAGAAAATATTAAATTAAGAAAATTTTCAAAACTGGTGGGCTACTTTTATTAATCAAGGTTATTTACGTTACTCTATGAAAACGTATTACTTTCTCTTATTATGCGTTTTTTTTTTCAAATTATTTTAATAGGTCTGTCCCAACAAGAGTCAAGGATTGGTTCCGAACCGTTTGAAATGTTTGTCCAGCGAAGTTCTAAATGTGTCTTCAGTGAATATATCGCAAGAATTAGTTGGATGCACATTTCGAACGGTTCGGAACCAATTCCTGACTCCCGTTGGAACAGACCTAATAACAGGCATTCACGGGGCTTTTAGAAAAGAAGAGACGAAAAGCACTACTAAATATGACTATCAATTTAAAATAAAATTGATTTTACATTAGTATTACGGTTTCTTAAGTTTTTTTTATTTTATAAGTTTTTTCCTTTAATTTTCCACTTAATACCCCCTCCATTGTTTTTTACATTCGCTCCCTACCCCATACATGTCGAGAGCTCCATGGTTCCACAAGGACGCCTTCGAATCTATCGAGCCACGCGTTTGCGCGTCTTTAATTCCGCTTTGGGATATAAAACTTTCGCTAATAAATTAAGTGCAGAAGGATGAAGACAATCTCAGGTGAGTCGAATCCGAGTTGCTCGACATCCCTTCTTGTATTTTAATTATCCATATTTTACAGATCACTCATCAACTAATATGTATAAAAATTAGATATGCTAATTGAAAATGTGCCAATCAAGTGATTAGTAAATAAGAAATATTTCTAGAGAAATCGCTGCATATTTGAAGTTGTCGCAACTGAATGACTACAGAAATTACCTCCATCAAGACATGGGGGTTCAGTAACGGAAACGTACATTGAAGGCTCTAATTAAGAATAACATTTCAAGATTCAAATAGAATTTCCTCGAATGTGGTTGAAATTTCTAATTCAGTTGATATGTCAGCGTCTATAATCCAACGAAAAATAATGTTTGTACCATAATTGGAGGTTTAGAGGAAAATATGGTTTTAGGATCACCTTGTTTCCACGTGTCGATCCACTATAACATTGGAAACCTCAATTTGCAATTTCCAAACAAAAAAATTTATAAATTTCCAAAAATAAGTGAAGCAATTTATCCAATCAAATTAATAAATAAAAACTACTCTAGAACGAGGTGTGATTGGAAAGTTTTGAGACGTCACTTGTAATTTCTAAATGGCAATACATACTATTGAATCTTCCTGACTGAACACACCGACTCCAATTGTGTTTCCATTTTTGGATGCATTCTCGATAATTTTCTTTCTTGATCTTGATGATATTAAGAACCTTCTCCGTACCTGCCTGGATCTCTTCAATAGATGTAAATCGCTTCCCTTTCAGCGAAATTTTCAATCTAGAAATCAAGATCAGGAGAATAGGGAGGTTGCGGAAGCACAGGAATTTAAAATTTTGCCAAAATTCCGGTGGGTTATCGTAGTGGAAAATCCATTTCTTGTCTCGCCTGATTAACTGTCTCCTAGGGATTCACGATATCACAATATCCGTAGAATTGAAAGAAATTAATAGTATTTTTTCACATTCCACCAACTTTGACGAGTTTTTTTTTCTGTCGCAAACTTGGACTCTTCCACTGCGATGGTTGTTTCTGGATCATACCCATACATCCATGAATCATCATCTGTAATAACCCACTCGTATATAATTAAATACTTGAAGCTGGTGTTCTTCCTGCTCGTGTGCCAATAATTTCGAAATAAGTTTTGCGAATACTCGACGCATGTTCAAATCTTCAGTTAAAATTGACTGAACCGTGTAAAAACTTCAGTTCATTGGCCATTTTCCTAATTGTAGATCGACGGTTAGAGCGCTAAATCACGAATTTTCGCCATGTTTTCATTGGTTATTGAAGTTGAAGGTCTGCCATACCAGGAATCATCATCGACTGGTTCGAAACCATTTTGAAATGTATTAAACTAGATAAAAACATTTGATCGGTTAGTCTCCGAAGCTGATTTTCCATTTTAAAACAAAATTTTACAAACGCTGGTCCTTTTTGTCATCCAATTTCGAAATCGATAAATTCAACAAGAACCGAAAATACGTCTTCGTTTAACAGACTGTCAGTCTGTATTAAACAGACATTCTGCGGTGATATTTTTGGATGTGTATTCAAAATTAACTAACATCTACATAAATCACTCAAAAACAGTTTGTGACGCTTTGATATCTTGCGAATGAATTTACTGGATTCTAAGTATAGTTGTTACGATATCAATTGGAACCTGTGTATCTTAAAGCACAAGATCGTCTGCACTTGTCTTGAAATTTCTTCTTATGCTTTAGCCATGATCTGTCTCGTAATTTATACTCGAATAGCCATTGGGCGAGTTCGGTATTGGTAGACCAGTCCGCCTGATGTATAATCGACGGCGGCTCGCTGGTCGTCAAAGGAAACCTGTATTAGTCCACCAGGTCGTAAATAATTTTTTGCATGGTATTCTATAATTATTATAGATATTATTAATTATTAATTAGTATTATCATTTGGTCATATCGTAACCAGTAAAGGGTAATAGTTATTAAAATAAATATTATATGTAATTATCTAATAATTTAGTATGGCTTTCTGGAAACCCTTTGAAACGGAAGATAACGAAATAACCCGGAAAAATCCCCAAATAGTCGAGCTTGTTTTTGTCGAAAGCGTCGAAACAAACTCGAAGTTTAAAAACAAAGATTTACACGTACAAAGTCAACGTATTATTTGAAATAAATATATGATTGCTTGAAAAGAGAAAATAGTGAACGGATGGAAATTAGGAAACGGATTAGCGAATTAACTAAGATAGCAAAAACGACAATTTATCGCGTAATTAAACAAGGAGACGTTATTAATCACGGTACAAAGAGGAAACGGAAAAATACAAAATTAAAGAATATTGACGATTTTACCAGAGATGTAATTCGGCGCACAATTTATAATATGTATAAAGAAAATAAAGTTCCTACCTTAAACATGGTTAGAGATAAATTAAGCGATTATCCTGATTATAATTATAAATCTTTAGATACTTTACGACATGTTTTATTACAATGCGGTTTTAAACATAAAAAACTTGACAATCGTATGGTAATTATGGAATCACGAAGTATAGTTGAACTTCAGGAAGATTATTTACAAAAAATTAGAGAATATCGGCAACTAAATAGGAATATAGCTCGGAATATAGTATATCTAGACCACAGGCCAAAATTTTTCTGGACGCGTATGGATTCCATAGAATATATGATTAAAGTGTTTTTATGCGGTTCCAACTGAGATCGTAACAACTATAACACCGTTTATTTCAAAAGTATAAGAATTCTGACTCCAAAACGGTGAATTATATTATCAACGTAAACCGCGTAAAAAAGTTTGTAACAATTTAATATCTTATATGTTAAAAGTTGCACTGAAAAATCTTTATTGTAAAAAACATGGACAAAGGAAGAATTTCTATAAACACTCATACCACAATACAAATAATTCTTCTTGTTTAATAAGTTTCTGTCGTAATTAATAACTTCATATTGTTTATTAACGTATTTATGTTTATATATAATACAATTCATATTCAAGTATTCATTTATTCATAAGTGGTATAGAAATGTTCCATCTTTATCCAAATCAAATTGTCACATACCTGTTAGAACGTGGTTCCTTAAAACGACATTGGCCTTTTCTTTGTCTTCCAGCAGAACTTTCCTATCCTTTTCATCCATGGCGGCGAAAGTCTCGTCCGTAGGCGCCAAGAAAGTCAGCGACTGATTGCTCTGCTGCAGAATAGCTTCCACTTCCGTGTCTTTAAGAATGCTGCGCAACGTGGAGTACTTCTCGGTTGTCTCGATTATCTCCAAGATGTTCTGCGAGGGAGGCACCAACACTTTGTTCACTTCATGGATGACGGAACCACAGGCCTTATCGTCGAATCCAATCAGTCGGGCGCAGTTAACGGTAGCTCGATTGACGACGTTTGTAAACAATGGTAACTGGAAAGAAATGCAGTTGCGTCATTATCCTACCCTATTTAGAAAATGTTGAGGTACTGCCGAAGTCAATCAGGCGTAAGTTCACGTCTTGTATGTAAAATAATTCAATATACCTATGACGATTTGGAGATTTGACAATATATCAAGAAAAGTTGATATTCAACAATAGAAAGTAACGGCGGCCTCAAATTTTATTTGGTACAGATACCTTACCTTTATCTGTTTGATGCTATAAGCAGAAACATTAGTTACTTTTGTTTTAATTCAAAATTGAAATGGTTGAAATATACATACCGTTGAATATAGATTGACCCTCAACTCTTTTCCGTAGTCGTTGGTAGTCAACAAGAGGTTATTGTTCATGTCACCGGATTGCAACTGCCCTTGAACAATATGGTATCTAACTATTTCCTTTAATTTATCAGGACTGTCCTGTGTTGCTTCCAATAATTTCTTAGCTTCAGGAGTTTCAAATGCCTTATCGACAGGGACGAACACGGTGGCGTTATTTAAACTATTTATTTCTTCTCTCATACCGGCTTTTTCAATAATGTCTTGGAATTTGCTGAAGTTATGATTCCTCAACACGCTTCCAATGTACAATCCTGGAATAATTTACATGGTTATAATTGTCTAAAAGTGTTTTATTTGATTCAATACCTGAAGGTGGTATAATAATGTCATCGAGCAAATGAATTACGCCATTAGTTCCCATGATGTCAGCTTCACTGATTTTAGCCTTTCCTTCAAAGATGAGCTCGTCATCAGCAGTGCGCTCTAAGTTCAAAATGTCACCTTCTACGTTGTGCGTAGTGGCATTGCCAATAATAGCTGACGAACAAACTGTGTGGGGGGTGAAGTGAAATTTCAGAATACCTGAAAAAAAAACAAAAGAATAATAATACCTATTTGCAATAATATAATATCTAATATTACTGTAAAATTTTTGGACTCACTATGAAATAAAAGAAAAACAAAAAAAACAGCTAAAATATTAGAAATGTATATTATTTACAAAATGAACTTACTGTCTACACATCCTCCACCATTCAAGATCTTTTGTTTTTGGCCTTCTTCTAGTTTGTTGAAAGCTTCATCGGTTGGTGCAAAAACGGTGTAATGACCATCGGGTTTGATGTGGGTTGAGATGTCGGTATACTCCAGTGCTGAAATACAATAAAAATATTAAATGCCAGATTTTTATTTAACTATTTTCGTCCTCACCTTTTCGAAAACTGGTCAGTCTCGGATGTTGGCGGATAACACTCTCGATGTCTTCAGTTGCAGGAATAACAACACCTTCAGCCATGTGAACAATTCCAGATTTGGACAAAACATTAGGAGTCTTAATCCTGGCGCAGTTTGCTGTCACTAACCTTTCGTCAGACTGGGTGGGATACATATTGAATCTAATGGAACTATTGTTGTTCTCGCTGCAAATATTCTGAGTTTAATAAAACAAAACATATTACTGCTGATTAAGGTATACCTTCTTAGAATCTCTTCGTTGCCGATGTCTTGTAAATCAATGAAGCCTTCGATGGTGTGACTGAGGACTAGATCTTTGTTTGAAAGTGCATTTTTGATTGCACGTCGTCGACGTGATAGATCGACGTTGTTCTGAAAAAGATTACATACGTTTATATTTATTATTGCCTACTTTGAGCTTTGATTCTGTTGCGATGAGTTTGAAAGTGGACCAAAATAAGTTCATGTATAAAAACAAGATTTTAGTGACAACATTTTATTTTCGTATTCTTCTCAACAAACCCTTTTATTTGATACCCATATCATGGGGGTGCATAAAAAATAAATGGTCCGCCATCTTTGGGAGTCCGCCATATTGGATTTAGAATTACGTGACTTAGCTCACCATGCATTGTCATCCAAACATATGTGTATGCAATATTTCAACTCAATCGGTTGGGGATAACTGCTTTCAAATTCAGTTACAAGATTTGACCCATACTAACAAAAAAGATTGTAAAAGTGATAAGATCATCACAACGAATAATCTATTCTTCATATAAATACAATAAATAGAATCAACTGACATATAACTTGAATGTCAAATTAGAAACCACATTTGGAGTAGTGTATATCTTTTAACAAGTTTGGAGGAAGTTTCTGGTTAATTACAAAAATTCTAAAATATACCAAATTCAGTAATACTCGTATATCCAATTTAAAACATTCATCATTTAGTAACAGCATGTCCATTATATGTAAATAATACAACTGAATTCATTGTTTTATTATTAAGTTAATACCTAATAGCCTCCATTTGAAATAGACCAAAAGTTATAATACTTGGATCTCGATTTCTGTAAAGTTTTGAACTAAAAATCAAACGTGGTCTGTGGTTTCAAATGATGATGCATCAAAATCTTTTTTCCTGGCAGATGAGAAATGGTAATATGCAATTCGTGTACGAAAAATGTGCAGGAATAGATTCTGATGTCTTTTTATATCTGAAACGTCTACCCGTAAACTAAATTCAGTATCCTATTTTTTTTTATACAATTTCAAATGAATATTAATATATTTTCAATTATATTTATTTGGTGGCGATGATTTTAAGGCATTTATTTTTATAACCTTTATTATTTGATTTATTTTATAATGGTAAATATATCAACTATTTCTCAACATCAACTGGGTTTGAGAATGTACTTTGTCCCACCTTTAAAAATGTACATGACAGATGCCGTATACTTAGTACATATCCTCACAATTTATCTTACTAGTAGTCCAGGCGGTATCTGTTTTAAAAAAGGTATACTTGGGTAAAACGCATATGATCGGAGATTTTTGCTTTAACGGCTTCTAAATAACATCAGAAAAAATTTGAAAAAAACATTAAATTATTGCAATTGTTTTTAAGCGTGAAAATTGCGAAAATGTTTAAACAATCACCACGGCTCACCTAATAGTCCGATTTGAATTTTTCAAAAAGCATTTTAAAGCCTGAGAGCTCTTCTGTTTGTGGTGAAATTTTCAAGTATTCAAAAGCTTTAGATTTTTAGAAATTTGATTTTGAAAATTTTTTAATTTAAAAAAATAAAAAAATTTAAACAATTATTATGTAAAAACTATCGAACTGAATTGGATAAAATTTGGTGTGATGATTATATGCACTAAGAAGTTTAATTGGGAAAAGCATGAAGATCCTAGTTATTATTCAAGTGTCTGAAAAAAATTGACAAATAAACTAGTATTTTTTGCAATTTTTTAAATGATTTTTCCGATTTTTGCAATAACAATAATTATTTTTTCGAATTGTAACTAACTCTTGTTCAAAAGTTAATTACAAAACTTTTTTTCCTCTTCCATTTTTGTCTAAAATGAATAGTTGCTAAGTTTTCGACGAGAATCCAAGAAAAAATGAATTTATTTGCTATTTTTTTATACTTTTTTGCAATAACAATTAAGCCTACGTTTTTTTTAATTGCAGAGAAAAATTATCATTTCTGATGTTATTTAGAAGTCGTTAAAGCAAAAATCTCCGATCATATGCGTTTTACCCAACCCGAAACAGATACCGCCTGGACTAAAGAGATATATGCTGGTGTCGAACGAAGAAACTAGACATAATTTACAAGCCCTTCAATTTCTTTCCCCCCTTTCTTGTAAAAATGACGTCAGTGGAAAAATAAGCAAGGAAATTCTACAGAAGATTTTTTCTATAAAGTAACTAAACTATAACATGTTTTGCTTAATATTTCAGATCTATAAGAAGTTTTAATATAAATTTACAACTAATGATAATCTACTCTGCATTATATTATAAAATTAAGGAGAACATGAAATCAACCACAAGTCGCACCATGATCAAAACGATTAAGACACAGAAAAGGGTGAAGAATAAGGCTCAAAAATATAGCAAGCAACTTCTTGACAGATGCTAACTAAGTGCTCAAAACGATCTTCTTCGGTGAAAACCAATGCATTGAACCAAAGTTATATATCAATAAGGATAACTGAACTGATTAGTAGAACTGAAAGTTAAAGACTCATACTACGACTATTCATAAGAGAAAAGACAGAAGTTATGTATCCGTTATATATACTTAGGATCTACACCCTACCACAATCAAAAAGACCTTAACCCTTTGACGATGAGGTCAAGGTCATCTGCTACATTTACCTTGCAAATATTATTTTGTGCAAACTTCTATTTCGTGAGATAAACATTTAAAAACAGATACAAAAGATATTTAACGCAAACCTACCATATCGTTCAGTTTCTCGTTGTACAGGTTCAAAGCATCGTCCGTGGGAACGATCAAAGAAAAGTTCCCTTCGGTAAACTTTGATTCAAGGCCAGTCGACTTGATCAAGTTTTTGAATTCATCCGCTTTCATATCAGTCAAAGTGTCCATGATCGGCTTGAGGTCTCCCTGCTTTTCACAGCCCTTGCCAGAAGTTCGTTTGTACCCGTAACAGCACTTGTAACGAACAGTAAAAGTCTTCACGATGCCGTGATTGTTTATCCTGAAATAGACAATTATTTTTCATGTGATGCAACTCCATTGTTAAAATAATTTTATCATGCTAACCATACGATAATTGAAATATTCTTCTAGAAAAACTCCGATAAAAAAAACAAAAGAATGACTTTAATTAACCAACATCCTGAATTAATTCTTAAAGGCCTTTTAATGCTGCAATTTACTATGAAGGCTTTTGAAGGACTGGCATTGTTTTGTTAATTAAATTAATTACATGTAATTAATTGAATAAGTGTCAATTGTGTATCATTTATAAAAGTCTTTTGTTAAGGCGTTTTTCTTCTAAATTGTAGTAATCCGTATTAAAAGAAAAACAAATAGATCTATAAAATTATTAGACTATATCTAAGATATTTTTTTTAATTGACTGCTTCGGGTGTCATAAAAGTATGACATGGTTTCTAGGTCAATGGTCCTCTCAAGTAACTGTAATTAAAAAACAAAAAAAAGTGATCTATTAAATAAAGGATACTAGGACATTATATACCTTTGGAAAGTAGATAATTATTTAATTAATTTCTCTCAAAACACTGTATCACATCACTAATTAACTTTTCAAAAATGTTATTAGCTTTAAATACAAATTTTTAAAGGGAAAACTGATTAAATGTTCGAAACATTAGGTATTTTGTGATTTGCTACAGCGTTTCAGTGGAATCAGAACAATTCACTTTTTCAATGTGGTTCATTTCAGTTTAGATAAAATTACGTTTATAAAATATAAATACAACCCAATAACTATACAAGAAATTTTTATTTTTAGTGTTTTTTGATACCCTTTAAATGACAACACTATTTATACCAACTTTAGCACTTCTGGATTTTTTTTTATTTTATAAAACTTTGCCTTAGATATGATTCATAGGAATACTGGAATATATACTTAAAACTTAAACTTACTTTGTGACACACTCATATTTATTAGAAGTCTCGAAACAGTTGGATAACCTGATAGATGTCGAAAAAAGATCAGGGATTTGTCGCCCCACTTGTTCAGTCTCATTTTTCTTGTCATCTGCTTCTTCCTCCTGATCGTCATCATCATCATCATCTGTACTTTCTTCCCTCTCAATACACACATTGTCTCTGAAAAGAAAAAGAAAAATTAATAATTATTGTAAAAGGTGGTTCAAGGATCTAAATCCATCGGATTTAGATGCTTGATAAAACACAGTTTTATTTATTTTAAATTTTAAAAAATGTAACTTGAAATTACATTGTTTTTTTACATGTGCACCTATCAAATTTCCAAGATTTATATTTCGAAAATCAGGGGCTTTAGAGACTGTTGGTTTATTAAGTTTTTGGTATAAAATGATTCAAGAAACAAAGGAACTTTATTAGTATTTACTTTTATCAACAAACGTACGACTATACAAACTGCAAGGTAGTAACTTAAAAAGGGGACACGATTTTATTATTAATTTATAATTGCAGAAATGTAAATGCACTGACAGAAAGTAATTATATTTTAATTGTGGTTTTCCTCAACTGAAGGAGAGTCAAAGATGCAAAAAGTGACCTCCACACTTACTAGTACTCCATTACAAGTCATGGTATTCTAGAATTGTGGAAATTGCGTTAAACTGAATTTATTCTGAATGAGATAAATTTACTCTACTATATTAAAATTTTGTAGTCTTTTTCATTCCATCAAAAACAAAACTATTTGTTATTTATGTATATAAATTTCACTTCATATATCGTTTAAATACAGTGGTAAAATTATATTTGTTCGGTTATTTTTTCTAGATATAAAACAATGTGTCTGAAACTTTTTATTTCCCTAAAATATTGAAAAATCTATTTTGTTTTCTGTTTTATTTTTCCATTTACCGAAAACTATGAGTTTAGTGAATCCTTTTTTATGTAAAGAGTATCTCCGAATTAAGAGAGAATTTATTAAGCAGCTTTAAAAAGAAATGGAGTAAATAATTCGGTATACCAACTATCAGCATTCTCAGTAATAATAATAAATTTATTCTAAAAAAACACAAGATTTTTGCAAAACAGAAGTGTATACTTAAAAGATCGATGTCTGCCAAATGCCTGGAATTTTTTCATAATACAGTAATGATCGCCCAAAATGATATGGTTTACCAAATATCCATAAAGAAGATAAGCCACTTAGGTACATAGTTTCGTGTATGAATTACATTTATTTTTAACATAAAAAATTCGTTTGAGGTTACTAAAAAAATTAAAAAACTACTGTATGCATAAAAGAGGAAATAGTCATAAATATAACATTACCAATATCGATAAACCAGAAAACAAAAGCCTTAAATTTACACCACTTCAAAAATAATTACGTCATTTTAATTTTGATGCCATAAAAAATTTGAACAAGGAAAAATGATTTGAAAAAAGATTATTTTTATCAACTTAAATTCAGATTGTAAAAACTTGAACAAAAATTGATCATAACATTTTAACCAGTTACAGATGATACGTAATAATAATTTAGTCAAGTCTAGTTGACAATTCTCCTTCGTATTTCTTATGCAGGGCGTAACTTTAAGAGGGGGTCGGTTTTTTAGGGGTAATAGTACGTGTTCCCCTGATTACGAATCTGAAATTCTTTTTTTTTTTAAGCCAATAAATAGTCGAGCTATAATTAGTTTTTTAAAATGCACTTTAATTCTTGTGTACGCCGCCACTGTAATATTCATGTATTACAAATACATGAATTGTAGGCAATCTGCAGTGCATGTGAAGGGAGATAGTGCGGGTCAACGGTGAGGAAGCGAAGGGCGCCATCTAACTTTGAATTTGAATTTTTTTCATCTCTGGAAGCCATCAACAGACTATTTTTATTTTTGTGTATTTCATTTATCATTATTGATTACTGTTTGAGTTTTTTGTTAGATTACTTGGTATAGCTGTTTTACATTGACAATTTATTGATGAATTAATTCATGAAGTCGCTTCATCAAGAAATTGGACAAGTATAATGCACCAAATCTGCTATCAAATAACTTCATCACTTTATTCATCAAGTTCTTGACGAATTAGAGCATGTTCTTCGTGAAGTTCGGAAGTACCAATCCAACAGATTTCCAGCCTCAGATCAGTAATGAGGTTATGTTATTGGAATATGTAAATAATTGTGTGGCGTCGTACTAGTTTTGCATTGTTTTTTCTGATTTGTTACTTACAAACACTAATATTTATATAATATGTGTCAAAACGGTACCGCTGTTGTATCACTACAATTATGAGTGGAAAGATGACATTTTTGAAATTTATTTGCTTCTTTGATTCGTTGGTAGAACTGATTCAAGCGTCAAAAACTTGCAGTATGTAGCAGTCTAAAACCACACTGTTTACCAATAAATTCGTGAATTAATTCATGGAGAATTTCGTCAATTTATTCATCAATAAATTGTCAATGTAAAACAGCTATTAAGTACTGTTTGTGTGGCAAACCCCCACTCTACAGAATCTACTCACGGCGATTGGTGTAGAATTGTGCATGCGCTGCGACTAAAGCGCACCGTTATTTGAGGTTAAACTAGCTTCTCCAGCGGCGGGGTACGAAATAAAATAAGTTTTTACGACGGAATTTGAAAAAATAAATTATTGATACGTGTACCTAAATATCAAAGGAAGCCTCTGTATAAATATGACCCCCATTCAAAGTTACACCCTGTATATGAAAAAAAAACACATGTCTTGGTAGGTATTTTAGTTTGTAGAATGACGCATTTCGAAATAATGCCTCCAACTTCTTGGTACAGTTTTCTCTAAATCGTAATTTTTTAAATTTTCAATTTTTGTTATAGGTCTGAAGAAGGCCGAAATTCGGTAATAATCATATGAAGGTGTAAAATAAAAATGAAATAAAATAATATTTATAATTATTAACGGAAGCAATTGAAAAAAAATATATTCGAGTTTAATCGTATTTTAGCCGGATATACAACTTAATAATTTTTTGTACGTTCACGTCGGAACACCCAGTATTTAAAAAAATTACTTGTACACCTATTAGGGGAATTAAAAAATTAATTTAATATTTAATGACAAAAATTATAAACTTTATAATAAAATATTGCGGGGAGTTTATTTTTATGGATTTAGATTGCTTTATTTTATATAACAGATTTGAAAAACAATGCAATGAAATGTTTAATGTAATAGTTAATAAAAATGTTAAGAATTATCTTATGTTTCCTTGTTTGTACAGTTTTCAATGTCAGATACTTGTTACTGTCATTTCTTAATTATTAAAAAGAATGGAATTAAAGTTTCGAAACCCTGGTGGTTTGCAAATAAGCGTTTATTTTAGGAAGCAATGAAACATTCTAGTTTAGCCGTTGTTGTTTATTATTTTATACATAATTTTATCAGATATGTACCTAGTAAATACGTCGAAACAATAATTTAATTAAATAAAATAATATTTCTAAATCTAAAATATTTAATAGATATAGTCTCAATTTCTCAATTGTACTAATTTCTGTCTATATGTATACAGGGTGTATAACACCGAAAAAGGTGTGATTCTCTGATGAAAAATTAATAGTGGCTTTGGTATAAAATTTTTTGAAAAAACTCTCCCCTGAAAAGTTACGCCCCTCCAAAACTTAAAAAATAAATTGTTTTTCTTTTTTGTCTCCCATATCTGTCAAAAAGACTACACTCTTTGAAATTTTTTCAACCCTGAAATATTTTTGTAAGGGGTTCAAATAATTTACCCCTACGACATTTTTTCCTATAATTTTTTTTTTTTGATAAAAAATGTCTAACTTTTTGATCTCTACAAGTGATTTCGAAAAGTTAAGGATTTATGAGAAAAATAAATTTATTGCAATGCATTTTTTAAGAGCTGTTTAACGCGAGTGTATTTTGCCGAAAGATCTAGTGGCCTGTTCTTTACAATGGAATCCATAGAAACAAATGTCAATGTCATTTATCGTTACTGTTTCTTACTCTTTGGTTTCTTTAGCTTGATATACATGAAAAATGAAATAGAAAAACCATTTTTTTTGTTAAATTTTTGTAAGGTCGTAACTCTTCAGGGGAGAGTTTTTTCCAAAAATATTATACCAGAGACCCTTATTAATTTTCATCAGAGAATCACCCCTTACATTTTTTCGGTGTTATTTAGATACACCCTGTATATTAACAGAAATTAGTACAATTGAGAAATTGAGACTATATCTATTAAATATTTTAGATGACTGCAAATATTATTTTATTTAATTAAATCATTGTTTTTACTTATTTACTAGGCACATATCTGATAAAATTATGTATAATATAATAAACAACATCGGCTAAACTAGAATGTCGAACCACCAGGGTTTCGAATTTTCATCAGAGACTCGTCCCTTCATTTTTTCGGTGTTATTTAGATACACCCTGTATATATTAAAAAAAACAATTCTAACCCGGACAATCTTTTGAGAAACCTTCAATTATTTTTCAGAAACCGTAAATTGTAAAATCTAGCTTTAATATATAAACTATTGCACGGAAGCAACATACATAATATTTGATTTTTGGCCCAATTTAACAATATAAAATAATTTCTTGAAAATAATACAAACGACTACTTTTTAATGTAAATTATTAGAAAGATTTTGGAACGTCTTTGAAGCTACTCACTAGTGCAATATTAACTTTCTTCGTGCAGGTACACGCTCAAGTTCGTTGAACCCGCAAACTGTGCCAATTATCTTTATTTACAAGAACTTTTACAAGAAGTTCCTAAGTGTGAAAAATGATTATATTGTTAGGACAAACAGTACACCAAAATGTACAACTCGTCATACGGTAAAACCCTATTGTTTGCTAAGAAGCTTAATGAATACCAGAGTATTCAGAAAATAATGGGTAATCTCTGGAATACATGTAGGTAGATCCTCTACAAACGTCACAAATGTATATAATATTTTTATTATTAAAACGGGCAAATATTGCTTTGTTAAAAAAAAACAATTCATATGTAGTCATATTCAGCGCTTTTGACGCTATCGTTTCAAACTGTCTTTTTTTCTAAAAGTTTAATGTTTATATTTATAAAATTTTATTATATTAATATTTAATGATTTCATACATGGGAAACAATCATAAGTAAA